ACACCCCTCACTGAGGGTGAGGGATTTTAGCAAAACAAACTCACAGGACAAATACATCTGAAATAGATAATTTTTTAAAAGAATAATTATGAATGTCTTACTTTTATGAGAAGTATCTACACAAAACACACTTACACACTACTACTTAAATAAGTTTTCTTATTTTACTCTGTCTGCCAGTCATTTATCAGAAAACACCTGTTGAGTACTATGGCCACTGATATGTCTGAGTTACATCTAACTAAGCTAATAGTCAGGAAGGTCAATATACTTTTACTTCTGAAGGTTCTTCTATCAAATAATCACCTACCATTGCTCTAAAACAATTTTGATATCACAAAATGATGGGGGAAAAACTTCAGGTTAAGAAATAAGTATAATCAGAGTATATCATGAGGCAGACTCCATAAAGAATCACATAGATGTGTTACAATGCACTGAGACACAACACAATGGAAACTCTAACACCAAATGCTCCATGTATTCAAGTGCCTTGAGACACCTGAGAAACAACAGCAGCCTGAATCACAATCCTGGACACAAAGAACAGACTAGATTCCATTATACAGTTTCAACCTATTTTGTTTGTAGCATTCAGTAATTCCTGGATTACAGAAAAACAGTGAAACAGAATTGGATCATGTTGAAAGAATTGTTCCTATAAAATACAGTTTCTTTAAAAGTAAAAATTACATAAAATAGTAAAAGCATATGCAAGCCAGGAAAGATGCTCCACTTCCAAACTACCCAAAGCTTTAACAATTTATCATTTACACCTGTGTGATCTTTATAAAGCAGAAGACAGCCAATTTGGGATTGCAAGAACCAGGCACAAAAATGAAACCCTGGATTTATGGATTTAAAGTTTCAACCATAAACAGTACTGAAATTTCAATCAAAAATTTAGACGTTCTCCACTTGACAAAAATCAGTCCCGACACAATGGATACATGTACACTTTAAGTAACCCAGGGATTTTATCTGTAGTTTATAGTCTAGTGCAGAAAGCACATTTGTGATCACCTACTTTAAAAAACACAGAAGCTGTTAAATATGCTGTTACTGAAAACTGTATTGCACACTGAAGAGATATTCTATTTAAAGGCTGAAGCTAAATAAAAAGGGGGGAAAAAAACCCTAAACCTGCAAGAGGATCTAATTTAGTGGGGCTAAACTCAATTTCACTAACTCTTCCTCATGAGCATTGCTCTGAAAATTTCAAATAATCAAAGAACTGGCAATCATTCTCTGCAAGAACTTTAAATTGCTGAAATTATTAGCACAGATTTACTGTACCCACTGTTTGTCGGCCCAGCAGTAAATAACACACAGCTAGACACGTTACTGTGTTTCAGAGTTGTAATGCTCACAGAATGGGCAACTCAGTATCTTCTCTCATGCTACACACCCACAGACAGTAACTCTGGACCAGTTATAATAAACTGGTGGATACAGCAAATGTCAACACAGGGCACTAAACAAGAACACATCAAAAAGCATCAGCAAGCTTTAACTCTTCTAAAACTCCCTCATTCTAAATGATGAAGGTAAAAAAAATGGTTTTCCATGTAATCATTTCCAACACCACAATACTCAATTCAAGTCACTCACTAAGACATGAAGGCATGCATCGCTCCTAATACGTGCACGCTTTTTCTTTGTTTACAGGCTTTACCAAACACATTAAAACAACTCTGCTAAGCAAGAAATTGCAAAGACTGCCATGAACTCAGAAAACAAACCAAAGGAAAAAAACACTGGACAAGAGACAAACAGTTTTAGTGAGCCAGGGTATCAGCACTGCCAGGGTCAGCTAAAGTCAGCGAATTTACCTATCACATATTCACTAAGTCTCTTCTCTGAGCAAGATCAGTATCATACCCAGCCAAGAAAGCAAATATTTGGTCTTTGTCCTACTACTGAGCCAAACTGTGCTAAGCAGAATCAAATAATTTTCAGAGAATGAAAGACAGACAGACAGCAGTTGCAATCAACTGATCTCCCAGAGTAGCTTTGTAGTTAGTTTACTTTCCATACTAACCTGCATACTCACTGTTCTAGCTGCATAGCACAGGATCAGAGTAACAAATCATTCTCCTGAAGTCTTCCAATACAGGAAAAAGTCTTGACAGAAAAGTTGCAGACGTGGTTGACATTAATGGGGCAACATAAAATATAATTTTTTTAGCCCTAAATTTGGTCCTGATGACACAAAATATTTTCTTAGAAAATCTAGGTTCATGTTCTAGCAGTACTTGAAATGACCGTAAAGAAATAAACATCTCAATTCTTTAAGTTCTGATGTTAGCTATAAAAATATATTGAGGGAGTTTCTTTTGCCTTTTTTTTTTTTTTTTTTTTGTTTTTTTGTTTTTCTTTCAGCCTACAAGCTACTGGCCCACCTATCTCAACTGTACAAACCACTTGCTGATCCCAGATGCACTTGAACAGATGTGCAACTTCCCTGGTATTTGAGATTAACCTATTCTCAAGGCTGGTTCTAGAAACATTGCATCTACTGTTGATACTTCTTATTATCAACAGCTCATTTTTGCAGTTAAAGAGAAAAAGCCAGTATTAGTCATTCTATGGGGACAGCGCATTTTTTTTTTGTGCTGTTACACTGCCTGAGACTTCAATCCAATGGTCAACCCAGCAGGGAAATCTTACTTCACAAGAATTAAGTCATAACCGCACATCTAATATTTTAACAGCAGTTCCAAGAGAGAAAACACAGTTTAAGATGTCTGTAGACAACAGAGACATCTGAAGTAGTGTCCTCTGTTAATTTTCTAAATTTGCATGACTGTTTTCAGTAAAACTTCATGCGCTTGATAGGTTGTACAACCATTTCAGTTTATGACAACTGTTTATTTGAAAACCTGGCAAATCCACCAGTATTCAAATCTGAAACAAACCTGTTTAAGTTAAATGTATTACAAAATTCACAGCTAAAGTAAATCCCTTTATTAATTCCAAAGGACCCAACTAATGGCTGACTGCTTTACAGGACAAACACAATCCTCAGGTTAGATTAAGTTTATGAATCTCTCTTTTGAAATATCCTGACAAAACAAAAGCCCCAAAACTGCAAAGACTTTTAAAAAAACTGCATTGATGCAGTTTACAAATATATGGAGAACAGAGAAGTGGAAAGCACCCCTTTCAGACTGAGATTGCTGGGAAAGCAGTGGAAAACACTAAAAAGCAAACAGTTTTTTTACTTTTGGGAGAAATGACTAGATCAATCTTGCAGAGAGAGTAGCTCACTGCACACAACACGGCAGCTGCCAAAAGACAAGAGGACAAGAAAGCAGCTTCAGTGCATTGGCAGCTGAGAAAACCTCAATGAAACTCAGGTCTGGGAGACTTCTAGCCCAAACACTGATGTACAAAAGAAAAAAAAATACAAAACAAAACTGAATGTAGATTAGACATAAGGACAAAAAAAAAACCCCTCAAAGAAATATTAGCATTTTCTCTATTCACAGCAACGAGGTGAAACAAAAGTCTGACAGTCTAGTTGAATAGCTAGCATTACATTTGAAATTTTGGAGCTTTTACTTCATCTTTTGTATCCTCTTCTATTAACCAATCGGTGTCCTTCAGCTCACACTTAAGGAATGATGTCAAGTTCTGTATCTAGACATTAGTGGCGCTTTCAGACATGTTATCTTTTTTTATGAAGTCTGCAATACCAAAGACACACAAAAAAATGTGCAATAGCACGAAGTTGCCACAGTTAGCGCCATTTCAAGGTGAAAACTGGGAAATCCTATGGAAAACAAATGAAGTTCTGAATCTAGCAACACCTACATTCTTTGTAAGCAGGAGTCTCTGCATTTATACATTTTTATAGCAGCTTTGCTATGATTTGTTGCTTTCTAATTTAAGTAAATGAAGTTTTAGTCAATACCTGCATAGCAAACCTACTAGAAGAGTTGAAAAAATTGAAGACTTGCAGGAAACACTGTGGATGAATCAGCAGGTGTCACTAGTTTGAGACAAGGCAGCTGGAGCACAGGCTTTCACAGGAAGGCACAAAAGCCCTAATAACTTGGTTATCTGACATAATCATGCCATGCTAAGTACTATATCCGTAACTAGCACATCAGAGTAAGGGAGACTGATGATTTTACAAATACAGTACAAGGTTACAACTTCCCAAAGTTCAAGGCCTACTCGCTGTCTTTAAAGACAGTGTTAGATCAAAATAAATACTGGAAATACAGAGATACAAGAGACTGTGTATGTTTTCTACAGTCATGTTAGCCAGACAGTGAGACAACTACCACCAAGCCCAGTCAGCTGAACAGGACAACTCACAGCTAGAAAATGAGAGAAGAGAAGGCTTTGGGGTGGCCTAATTGTGGCCTTCCAGCACCTGAAGGGAACTTACAGGAAGGATGAGGCAAGACTGTTTGCAAGAACATGTGCTGACAGGACAGGGGGCAATAGCTTCAAAGAGAAAGACAGTAGGCTTAGATTAGCAATTACGAAAAAATTCTTTACTGTGGGGGTGGTGAGGCACTGGTACAGGCTGACCAGAGAAGCTGTGGATGGCCCATCCCTGGAAGTATTCCAACCCAGGTTGAATGCGGCTTTGAGCAACCTAGTTCTATCTGAAGGTGTCCCTGCCTACGACAGGGGAACTGGAAGATTTTTGATGTTTCCTTCCAACCCCAACGTTTCTATGACTCAACGAGTTCACGAATGAGCTACATTCAGCTTCCGAACCGGCCCTCTGCAGTGTAACAGAGAAGTGGGAGCGGAGGGTGCGAGGCGGCACATTTCTCCACTGCCCCCGCCAGCCTCAGAAGGCAGCAGTCCCCTCCTGGGCGGTGCAGGTGCTCGCCCAGCAGCGCCCGGGCGAGCAGAAGCTGCTTTGTCACTGGGCAGGGCCCCGGCCCCGCGCAGCCGAGCCGGGAGCCGCGGGCCGGCGCTGCCTGCGGGGCGGCGCTCCGCCCGGCCCGGCCCCGGCGCGCCCCACCGCCCCTCACCTGCCGGATGCTGCTGGTCTCGGAAACGGCGAACTCCTCCTTCTCCTTGAGAGTCTTCACTGTGACTTTGATGATCCGCGGCTCGGAGTCACCGGCGGAGTCGCGGGTGGGCGAGCCGGGGGGGCCCCCCGCGGGCCCGTCCGCTCTGTCCGACATTGCCGTGTCCGGGTGAGGCGGAGCGGGGCAGCGCAGCGCGCTCGGCCGCCGGTTACCGGCTACCGGCGCCTCCAACCGACCGCTCGCGACGCGCCCGCCACACCGGAAACGCCTGGGCCCGGCCGCCGCGCGCCCTGATGACGCAGCGCACCGGGGAAGGTACTGGAAAGGGGCGGGCGCGGGCCGGGCCGCGGGACTCCGCGGGGCCCTCCCGCCGCCTCCTCGGCCTCGGGGTGTGACAGCCCTGCCCTTCGCCGCTGCCAGCCGCCACCGACAGCAGTCTGAGAGGACACGTCTGCGGTGCCATGCCCACTTCTGGGCTCCTCGGTACAAGAGAGACAAGGAGCTACTGGAGAGGGTCCAGCGGGAGTCACAAGGATAATTTGGGGTTTGAAACATCTCTCGTATGAGAAGAGACTGCAGGAGCTGGGCCTGTTTAGTCTGGAGAAGCCTGAGAGGGGATTCATCAATTTATGTAAATGTCTCAAAGGTGGATGCCAAGAGTGTGAAAAATGCATATTACATGATTGGCTCTTCGCAAATATTAAAATGAATACTATAGGTGTTGTGTTGGAAAGTTATGCTGTATTAATATCTTTCAAGTAGTGTGGTAAATATAGTTTTAGGCTATAGCATATTAAAATATAAACTATGCCATGTAAGATTCTTTTTACAACTAGCTCAAGGAACGGATAATTAAAAAATTCTTCGCATAGGGATAACAGCAACAAGACACTAAAATTCCAAGAGAATAATTATTGCCTCTTTACTGGGAAGATGCAGACTCCAAGGGACCAAGACGACTGATTTACAAGATCGGGGCGGGGGGGGGGGGGGGAGGAGTAAGCAGAAGAAATCCTTCTAAGCAGAAGAAATCCTTTGTTTGAATTTTTGAATCATGTATGAGATCTATGAATATGCAACAGGCTATTGCTTTTAACGGGTAGTCCTTTGCTAGCAAGGTGTGCTTTGTGGCAGAGTGCAAGGCACCCGGACATCCATAATTCTTTGCTTTTTATTGTCCAAATAATTACTGCTCTAATTTTTGCTACTGTTTTTATAGCTATTTTATTCCTATTAAACTTATCAAACTTTGAAACAAGTGACTGGCGTTTTTCACAAAGAGGATAGTGCCAGCCTCTTTTCAGTGGTGCCCAGTGACATGACCAGGAGCAATGGGCATAAACTCAAAGACAGGAAATTCCACTTCAGCATGGGGAACAACTTTACAGTTAGGGTGACAGAGCACTGGAACAGGCTGCCCAGGAAGGTCATGGAGTCTCTCTCTCTTGAGGCATTCAAAACCTGTCTGGACATGTTCCTGTGTAACCTGCTCTAGCTCACCTTGCCTTGGCAGAAGGCTTAGCCTGGATGGTGATCTCCAGAGGTCCATGCAGAAGGTCACCAGTTTCCCAACTAGAGTCTGGGAGTGCAGGTGCTGGCCGTGCAACTGTGGTTTGCTGGAGCTCCAACCCATAAGACATGAGGTGTCACAGAGACCTGTAGTGAGATGCAGGGGTTTGGTGTCGGAAGATGCAAGAAGAGTAATTTGGTATAGTTTGTGAATGTACATCAATGAAATAATTCAGTACCTTTTGCCTTTAAGTTACTTGGCCCCAGCTAAAGAGGAATAAATCCTAGACATTTACTACTTGAAAGGTATTGCTAAGGTAGCATTCCACAGTAGGAAATCACATCTTCCTCAAACTTGGACCAAAAAAACTTCAAACACAACTTAAAACTGCATTACCAAATTAGGCATTCTCCCAGATTATTTTTGTCTCTCTGGGAATTCAAGATGTCTTTTCCTGTTTTGGTGTAAAGTATGTATGTGGCTGAACTGTAGAATCAAATGTCCTTTTTTGCTTAGATGAGAACAGACGTTTCCCATCTGATACTCTGAATCACAACATGATTTGCTGGTTTGCTCTGCTCTTGGGATAACCTCTCAACACCCTTTGTAGATTGGTTCAGCTATTAATAAAAGAAACTCTGTAATACAGCACAGTAGGCTCCACAACTCTTAACATTTTTACTAAAAGAATTGAAGACCTGCTAAGAGACCTTAAAATAGGAATGCCACAGGTTGGCTGAAGGGAATTCCAGGTTTTGCCTGTTCTAGAGCATTTGTTTGATGCAGATAAGAATGACTCCAGGCATATTCAAGTATTAAGCCTTTCCTAAGTCACACATGTTCCCTTTGCCCATTGGTTGTGATGCTACAAGGTGTTGACTTCTGCTGCAGCCGAACACTTCTGCCTCTGCCACATTATCTTCTTGTCTGGCAGAGTGAGGGACATCACACAGTAGAATCCTGCACTGCAGTCAAGAAGTGATTTCAAGCAGAAATTAGATGAAAGAGCAAAGAGATATTCCTCATCGCAGGGTCTTCACAGTTTATGGATACAGCTCATGCTGACTGTAACATTACATTAATATAGACTTTGTACCAGAGTAACACAACTTCTACATGGTTGTAGCCAGCAGAAGGTTACCAGTTAGAGGAATTTGTGTTATTTACAGAAGTATATTGGTTGTAAGTAGCAAGGATACTAAAAATTTATAGCAAATAACTTGGAAGTTATTGAAAGTACTTAACTAAGCAAGGAGAGAAATTTAACAAAGAATGTTTTTATCTTCATGTAACAGGCATATGGGATCTCATTTGCCAGAACAGAAAGGGTCCAGATGGAAAATACCCTAAACCAGAACACACATATGGGTTCTCATCAGGTAGTTGAGAGCAATGCTTATAAACAGCACATGGGAAATGAAAACAATACAGCAAAGAATTCTGACTTCTTAATCCTCTTAGCCTGATGGATTTTTAAAAACATTTCTTTTCTCTTGCCTTTCCTTTTCTTTCCCACTTTCTTCCACCTGTGCTTTTATTTCCTCTTTCTAAAACCATCTGTACAACTTTTCTTCATTAATTACTGATATTAAAGAACAGATTTCAGAATGTTTATTAGACAGACCAGGTTAATTTTTATGCCACTTAATTTTCTTCACCTACAGGTACTGGTGTTTACTGCAGAAGTTCAGCAATATTCCCAGCTTTGACTAGACAGCATCAATTCACTATTTTTTCCTAGTTGATGTAACCAGTGCAAAGCCATCTAAATTGGCTACAAAGAAACAAACTGAAAATGGACATGCAGTGACCAGACAGTATTTTGAATCAAACTGAAAGTAGTGGCTCACATCAAGTTGAATCAAATTAAGAATATTAGCAAAAGGTTTTGAACCAGTTCAGCTGAATTCTGTTTAATGTTTTACCTGATACTAGTGACACAATCTTGACTTTAGATGAGGCCTCAGGTGTTCTAATGACAGTAAAACTTACATACAATATCTCCAAAGTTTGGCTGTAAATGACACATAACATTCCTTGTATTTCTGAATATTCAAACCAAAACATAGTACAAGCACCTGTGATTTATTTTTAATGGAAAAGGGAAGAATATAAACTTCTACTTTCATATGGCATTAAAAAGATATTCTATGTAATTTTTTTCCATTCTTGATTTGCCAGAACAAAGGTTAGGGCTTTTGTTTTAGATCAGTTAAAGGGGTTAAATTTAAAAAGCTTCATGCTAAAACATAACTGGCTCAACAGCAATTGCCTACCCTGTTACTGTCTACCCAGTAACACTTTAGGGGGCTTTCTACCCAGTTATGCTTTATAGGGGCCTCACTGTGCAGATTCTCTGCCTTTAGTACATCAAATATCAAGCATATGTCCTTGTTAGCTCTCAACCAGAAGGCAGTATCCTTGCCAGGTCTACAATAATTCTGATAAATTAAATTACCTTGGCTCACTTTCAGTGAGATTTGTTTTTCAGTGATTGCTTTTCTAGTTCTTACAAAGAATCACTCATTAAAAGTCTAGGAAAAAGAATAATCCTTTTCATTATCCCAACCAATTAGCAGGTGTTTTCCATAACTGTTGCCCTAACCAGAGTTATTTTTGTTAGTTTGATTCATTAAAAAAAAATATTTAAGGTTATGTAGTAGTCTTTAGTCATATCCATCCCAGAATTCTTTTCTCCAGTTCCTCCCTACATGTATACTGTGCTTTGGTCTTTCCAACAAGCCTCTTCATCTCCCTAGCCTCTGTTATGTGGAACTTTTTGTTTCATTGGGAAAATTCCTCTCATTTCAAAACTTCAACTGCCTATTTAAAGCTAGCAGTGAATCTATGCAGTCTGAACTCAGTGTTCAGTAAATGAGAGCATTACTGCTCTCATTTTGATGCTTTTGATCTCTATTCTGGCTTTGTCACTTCAGCCTTAGTTATGCAGGTTTGATTTTTTTTTTAATTAACCCTTTTGAAAAAGAAAGGTTTTACTGTGTTGCAACACTATTTACAGCGTATTTCAAAGTAACTAGAACAGATACAAAATAGTGTTGAACATTTGTATGGAAAATTAAGTTAATATCAAAGCTTTCTATTGCCAATTTACATACAGTCCCATTCTAAAGTGACTCATTGTGAGAAAATAATACTGAAACAATTGCTGAATTTTCCAAAGAAAGCATGAGAGAAGTATCCTTCCTGAAACAAACTGCAACAGCTACAAAAAAAGCTTTGTGAACATTCGATACAACTGTAAGAAGAACTAGATATGAGAAAATACAATTTTTTTTCCCCAAGAGGCATAGAAAGAATTTAAGAGTAAGAACAAATAGAAGAGAAAAAAAAATCAGCTGATTGAAGAATTTCTGTGTAATTTATATTGGATAGACTAATTCTATACTGGACAGGCTAATAATTAAGAGTAAGAACAACTTAGAAGAGAAAAAAATCAGCTGATTGAAGAATTTCTGTGTAATTTATACTGGATAGACTAATTCTATACTGGACAGGCTAATACAGCAAGTGGTAAACTGGGAAAGGAGTTGTGTTGAATAAGAACTGTATTTAGCATTGCCCAAGTTAGAAACATTATGTGTTACTTAAACACTTAAAAACTCGTTTTTATGGTGGAATTGAGACTTTTTTATGATGGCATCAACAGGCACTTCTAAATTTCAATTTTGGTTTAATTTAAATAGAACGCCTGTTAATCAGCAAGCATAAAACAAACTGGTTAAGTATGTCAAACTCAATAGCACTAGAAACAACACAATTTAGTTCTACAGTGCGGGATGACAGGGCAAGGGGTGGTCAAAGCTTTAAATAGATGTCCTGAGAGAGAAAGAACATCAAACTAAATTGGTCAAATAGGGATAGGTGGACATATTAAAACTTAAGGGAAGACAAATTTATAGAATAGCAGGTAATCAGTCTTTTGGATTTTGACTTCTGTTACAATATAGAATAATCAAATTACTCTCTCTATAAATAATCTAGCAATTTTATAGCACCTTGAAATAGACGAATTAGTTTTTGTGAAAAGACAAATATACTAGATTTTCTAATTCAAATTTTTTTACAAATACAAGTATGTTGGAAAAGAAGTCACATCTCCAAGTTACAGGCTTTACTGATTTGATTAGATAAAAGTCTTGTTCTTGTAAGTATTTTCTGTAGTGCAGCAGATAATGAAAAAACATACCACCTTTCCAAATGAAGGAGTTTAGTTTGAATCAGACTCTAACAAAACTGATTACTTCATTCCACCCAGTAGCATTCTATCTGTCAGGATATAATTATGCACACTTTATCCTCTGTGGTCACAGGGTCCACCATTCTGAACACTGGCATCACTACCATCAATTGGTACCATATTTCAAAATTATTTTCAAAGAGTTGGCCAGAAAACAAACAACAAACAAACAAACAAAGGCAGGACAAACAAATTGGTGAGTCTACAGTAAGACTTTCAGCATTATAATGAAATCTCAATAAATGTACACTGTCTCATTTCTTTGAAAAGTCTTATTTGGCATCCATCAAGATGTTGGCATCTTCATGGAACTAGTTTTCAGAAATCACTAGTGAGTTGTAACAGCATTACAGATTCATGGTACCTTTATTAATAAAGAATTTTTCTCACTTTCCTTCCCTGCTGCCCACCAAAGTGAAGTGCTCTCTTCACACATACTTTGCTTTGGAAATGGCTTAGTGCTACAGTGTGCAAGAAAAAAAAGTCTAAAGAAGACTTACAGGTATTTTGCTTTGTCTACTCTTTTGTCTCTTCTCTGGTTATTTCCCTCTAATTCCTGTGTTCTCTGCTTTTTTCCCAGGTAACTGACAGAGGTTTTCTAATCTGTTTCTAATCAGCCAGCTCCTACTCATAGTTTAACATTCCGTAATGTTCGACTTCAGCAACTGTTGCTACTAAGATCCCAGGATTTAGTACTACATTCAGTGCTGCACAAATAATTCTGTATTTTTATAGCCATATTGCATTTAGTGACAGTTAACATGGGACAAACTAAATGTTTGAGCTTTGTGTTTGTAGTACCAGAGGAATTGTTTATTACTAGGCTGGCTCTGGAGCATGACATATGGCACTTTCCTTAACACCTAACAGGCAGAGAGGAGCTTTTTCTTTGGTAGTTGCACATGTTGGCATCTCCGTTTTCCAGATGAAAGTCATGTAGGTATAAACAAGACACAGACCATAACATTTTAGAATCACAGAATGCTTTGGGTCAGAAGGGACCTTTCAACACCCAAGTCTATTATGTACCCTCTTAGGAGTCTGACAGCAAAGGGCAGGGACTAGGTCAAGGTGCTCAAAGCCCTGTTCAGCCTGACCTTCAACACTTCTATGAATGGGGCATCCAAAACATATTGTTATCCAAAACCTATTTCCAACCTATTTTCTTTCTTAAATTTTATCCAGATTTTCTTGCATTTAAGAGCTGCATATTGTTGGGAATATTTCTGTACTGAATTAGGAATATTCTGTCCAATACTGAAGTAGTTAAAAAAAATTAGAATTTTCTCAGGTTTAAGAGAAGTTCCTTCAAAGCTGCAGTATAACAAGAATACAGACCTGTTCTTTGCTGTATTTTCTCCTATTACACATAACTGAAATTTGAAATCTGATTCACCATCAGGAAGAAAATATTTGTTTGTTAATAATTACACACTACTGCTATTCACCACAGTGGGTAAGGAAAATTGCCTTCTCTCCCTGTTTTCAGTCTGTGTTAGCATTGCCCAGATGGTATCTAAAGCAAAACCCAAAAAATTTCCGTGAGGAATTGGGACTGTTACAAAATCCAATAAATCAGTAAAGAATTATGTTAAATTATTTTATTACTCTTTTTATTCATTGCTTAAAGTACACGGAGCAGGCTGACAGAATGGGAGTTTTTTGATACTTGAAAAAGTACTTTTACTTTTACTTTACTTTTACAGCTGTTTTCATTTGAATTCATCAGAAGCAACTTGTCCTTCCTCTTGACTGGATAACAACACCAATACTGTTACGCAGAATGAAATTATCAGCCAACAACTAAAAGTTACAACTTCTCTAAGTGCCTGACATAAGCAGGCAACATGGTTTTACAGCATCAGCAACTCACAGCATGAACATGGTAAAAAGTTATCAGCACCTCACATTTTGCCCTTTCTATTCAAAAAGTTCACCATCTACAAAACTGTAAGTGGTACTTGCCATTACTCTCATCTGAGAAGGTGCTGTTAATACAAGGCTCACCATTCAAACTTGTCATGTATCCCAGAAAGCAGTCTAAAAACAACTGAACCATGACAAATTTGAAATTATTCATGTACTGAAAGTCAACAACTATACTAGTACAACACACAAAAGACATTTACAAATTTGATTGCAATATACAAATAGGGATTTTATTCTTTCTAAAGCCCAGTAACAAATTATGGTTTTATTGCATTATATAGCAACATGTTTCATAATGTACTGAAAAATACTAAAAAGAAAAATAACTCAATCCAGAGTATCTTACAAAACTTGAAAATACATGCATTAGAAATGCTGGAAATTCAGAGGGGTCTTCTCCCTTCTTCCTACTGCTAAAATTTCCCAAGGCTAAGTGTTTGCCCACAAAGATACATATCCTAAACTACATGCTTCTGTGTATACTAGACACAGAATAGTCTTTCCCATGGTCACTCATTATCTAGGCTCTAGAATAATCATGTTCACAGTCTGATAGTGTACTTTATAGTCATGAATATGAAGGCTCATTATCTTGCCTTAGAGGGAAAGGGCTGAGCCCTAATTCACTCTGGGAGCAGAGGGGTGTGATCAGCCTCTCTGTGTAGGAAAGAAACTGAATTTTCACTGAGTGGAAAGAAATAGAAGCATCCTTTGGGAGGAAGAACCAGTCTTGCTGAGCCTTAAAAAGAAACAAATACAGGCCAAGAAGGCCATATTGTGTATGTGAGGTATTGTGGTGGCATTGAGAGGTATGAGACAACAGAAACGGTGATGAATCTTCTTTTCTCCTCCACATGAATAGCTCTGTTGTACATCTGGATTCTGGCAAGAAGGACATGAAACAGTTAAAAACTTATACTAATGGTTGTTGTGTTTTGTTTGTTCAGTTGGTTGGGGTTTTTTTATGTCAAAGCACAGAGTTGCAATAGAGACCACTTCTTCTTCCCCTTCAAGAGTGTAAATTCTCTTTCAGCTTTAGTAAGTAAGTAGCTAAAATAAGTTAGTAACTGAAAGTGTGGCACTTTTCATTTACAATCTCCCAGAAACTTTTGAGAAATTAAATGCATGGCATATAACAAAGCTGTTAGTTACAGCAGCATTCAAGTTCTTTCAGAGAGCAAAATTCCTTTGCCTGAACTGTAACAGTTTGAGGTTGTAAATGCTGAAATTGTTAGAATCCAGAGAAAACAGAGCAAGAATTTAAACCATTGGCACACCGCTGCTAGAGCTACTGCTATAAACAAATGTCTCTCACTTGAAATGTGGGTAGAGGTGGAATATATTCCCAAAAAAACAGTTAATACAGTAAAAATACTATGTTCTACAGCTATCTGACATAGTTCTTCAAATGGTCTGTTGAGAATTGCATAAACATTTATCAGAAATATGCTTACATTTACTGATGACAATAATTATTCAGATGACTCTCCAAGAAGGCTCTTCAATTTCTTCTTCAGCTCTCTGCTGGTTTTCTTATAGAAAAATAAATCTTTTTCCAGTTGCTGTATTTTTACTTCATACCCTTTCAGGGTCTCTGCAGTGCCTTCACTATTTTGTTCTAGAAAAAATAAAATCAGTTTAAAAACCAAGTACCTTTGCCAAAAATCAAGATGCCCAATTAGAGTATCTTGATGGCATTTTGCTTGCAATGTGCATGGTTTAACTAACATGAAATAAGATCAAAAAGGCTGTGTTAATCCTACATATAGTTGTAATAGTATTTAGAAGATCAAGATCAACAGAACTGGTGTCTTACTTTTCAGTATCAGTAAATTCAATACGAAAATACAACAGTTCTGATACTGCTTTTAAAAAATCTTCTGTTTTTCATTGATACGGACACCATGTGTCTGTTCCTTGACATCTTACATGGTAATAGAATTAGTGACAGCCAAAATATATCTCTGAACCTTATTCATTTTTTCAGTTGGAATACAGTATTTCTCTCTCAATGACCAAAGAAAATACTTGCTGTATAATCCCCGCCCAAGAAGAAAATACCTTTGAAATTTTTCAATATAAACTGTATTTTTCTCTCATGTTCTTGGCGCTGGTGAGTCAGCTGTCTGTGACATTGCACCTTGATGTGTTCAAGTGCAGATTCTAATTCATGCATCATGTTTTTCTGGTGTATGGACTTAATTTCCTGTTCTTCAATCTGCACTTGTAATTTTCGTTCAGACTCGCGCAGGCCAATAATCTTAGAAAGAAACACACTTATTCTGATTTATCAAGCAGTTTTCAGAAAATCTTTTACCCTTCAGCCTACTAGATTAAAACATACAAAAGCACTGGATCTCTAAAAGCAATTAAGCTTATAGTGGAAATAGACTCGCCACTGCTACAGGCTGACTCTTCAGAACTAAAATGCATACATTTTGATCACATGGACTAGTGGATTTTTTTAATACCCTGTGCAAAATTTAAACTGAAATAACAATGCTTTCCGGATTCTGAAAAACTTCCAACTTGCATCCCACAGACAACTCTTCTACAAAATTACCAAAGATTCACCCAAGATCACAAAGACACCATGTCATAATGCATTTAATATTTATGTCTCCAGATGTATGATTCCTAAGCACACAGCTGTATACACTGCAAAGCATCAGTTTATACTGGTGTCGTGGTTACTGGCTAAAAGCCAGGCACTCACGAAAAACTATTCTTTTTCCTCTGCTGAACTACAGCAGAGGAGGAGGAAAGAAAAACTAAAGGGCTCTTGAGTTGAAGTAAGGACCAGAAGGAAACACTCAAAGGGCAAAACAGGCTCAAATTTAATAGGTATAATGAAAATTTTATTAACCGATCTAAAAGAGGATAATCAGAACTAAAATAAAACTTTTAAAACACTCTTTTTCTCCACCTCCAGTCCCTCTTCCCTTACCACTGACAGCACAGGAAGACTGCGTGTGAGAGTTTTGCTCAGTTTTTTCACTTGAAATCCTTCTTCAGTTCACTTAGGGAGAGGATTTTCTTTTGCTATGCTGTGGGGTCCTTCCCATGGGACACAATTCTCTGCAAACTTTTCTAGTGTGGTTCTAATTTTCATGAGTACCAGTCCCACCCGACCTACTGTAATGTGAGTCCCTCCCACAGTTAATGCAGTCTTCCCAAAACTGAACAGAGTGGGTCATTTTAGTTCATGGGATGTAGTCTTTTAAGGATAATCTTTTCTACTTTGGAAGCAAGGGCTCTCTTTCTCTATCTTTCTCTGCTCAAGTTTCCCACTAAATTACAGCTTTGCAGCACCCACTTAGTCCAGCATGAGCACTTTTCCTCATGGGCTGTGAGTGGATCTCTGGATCCCCCTATGCACTTCATGGAATTATGGGGAAAGTTTGTTGTATTATAGTCCTCACCACAGCTTCTACAAGAATCTCAGCTCTGAAGTTTGGAGCATGTCCTCTTCCTGGAGGAGGCTTTTCACTGACCTAAGTGGCACCATGTTGCTCTCCTCAGGTGTCTTCACCACCTGTTTTCTGACTCAGAAGAAAACTGTCTGCAGGTTTGTTTGTTTGTTTTCAAGTTCTATCCATTGTAAAGTTCTTATAGGGTTTTGCAGTGCTAAAAGGCTGATCTCATCTGGGCTCTATATGGGGGAAATGCTCGCCATGCCCCTCACTGTTGGCCAGACGGTCCCTGCCACTGCCGCTTGGGCAGTGCCAGCCACTGTGGTTCTGGCACCGTTCAGCGCCTCTCTTCATGTGAGGCGCCTGCAAGGAGATGCCACTACCGCTGCCCCTGCCCTTCTGCCCGCAGCACAGCTGGCTTCAAAAGCGGCCAAGCAAGCACAGTTCCCTGTGGACTGTGCCAAGATGGCTGTGGCTGTGCCAGGAAACAGCAGCTGGTGCCACTACCCCTGCCTTTCTGCCCACAGCATGGCAGGCTAGAAGTGGCCAGGCAGGCACAGTTCACTGCAGGCCATGCTGAGATGGCAGCAGCCGCATGGCCACGGCAGCCTCATGGCCACCCCAGCAACCCCCAGCCCTCAGAAAAGAAAAACTGCGTGCATTTTTTTTCCTTCTTAAATATGTCATCACAGAGGCATTACCAACTTCTCTAATTGGAGAACATGTCCAATTAGAAACATGTCCATTATCAGAGCCTTCAGAGACTGGCTCTGTTGGACATAGTAGAAGCTTCAAGCAGCGTTCTCTCTCAGAAGCTGCTTCCATGGCTTCCTCTGCCCTCTCTAAATCCAGGCTCTTTTAAACCAACAAAATCAGATTTAGGAAAAACACAACAGGAGTGACAGCCTGAGCTTTATGAAGTTTTCTGAAATTCTGCAGTCAGGAAGAATTTGACTACAACACCACTATTTAAACACGTTGTTTCCCCTTAAGTTAACAAAACAGAGCACTGGAAAAGGGCAAGGTAATTTCCAGATTTGTAGCATGTTTCTAGCTAATCTATCAAAACAAGATATACAAATTTAACTCACAAGTATCCTATTTAAGTTTAATAATAGCAGATCTATTTAATAGCAGATCTATGTAACCTGAAGATATATTAACCAAAAGCTTCTTCTTAAATTTATTTTTATTTCCTGCCACCATCTCAGTATCTAGAATAGTAATAGAAAATGGGATAAAATCATATTCAAAACAAACCTTGTTGAAATAAGCTTCTTCTTAAATTTATTTTTATTTCCTGCCACCATCTCAGTATCTAGAATAGTAATAGAAAATGGGATAAAATCATATTCAAAACAAACCTTGTTGAAATAACTGGTGATGATAGCTCTGAGCTCAGCAGCAGACAAAGAAACTAGTTTCCCTATTACGTTATGCTGGCTCTGTGAAAGACTCTGAGAAGATAACCTAAGTAAGTGCTGGTGATTATGGATACTTTCATTCTTGTAATCAATTGCAGCTACAAGGGTTTCAATTCCTTCTTCTAGCTGGAAAAGAATATGTTCTTCCTACAGAGAAACACATGAGTGAGATCTTTACAAAAAAAAAAGCTCAGAATTAATCTTTCAAGACATCTTTAGCTTCATTCTCAAGAGCAAACCTGAACTTAATGGTAAGGTGAACTAGTAGCACAGACAATGGAATAGGAAAACAAGAGGTAGATTGCAAATCTAGAACATTTGTTTTTTCCTAACACAATACAGGGGTTGATCAAATGGCTCATCACAAAACTAGAAGTCATGTTTTCCTTTTTATCCTTCCCTCATCCTCACCACAGTTTGACTCCTGCTATTTTTAATTTTTTTAATGTACTATTTTCTGTTAGATTAATGAATTAATCAATCAGCCAGTAAGGAGTTTGGTGATCATGACTTATGTAGGGAAGTGGCAGAAATGCCTGGCCTGAAGCACTGCAGACTTTGATGAGTGAGGCAAGTAGGGGTCTTTCTGGAACATTATCGCCTAAGCCATAGTCTCATATTGCTTCTCAAGACCTAAAAGCAATCTGTGCATTTTATATTAATTTATTTTATCTTCAACAAAATGATACTGATCAACACCAAGTAATTGGCCATCCATGTAATATGACTTTTTTCACTGTAGAAAATAAGTAGTACTCCTTCAGGTGAAATTTGCTTTTTCACAAGATTCTATGAAAAAAATCAAGGGGCATTACTATGTGAATACATGGCTTGTTCTGTATCCTAACATTAAAATACCTGCCTGTGATAAACAAATTAAGTTCTGGTTCCCTTACTTCTCATTATATGACTCTTAGACTAATAGAGTTTGGCAAGACACAATCTGACTTATGTTCCTCTGATCTTAAACTTCATTCACCAGTATATACTTGGTGCTATTATAGAAGTACTCTAAAATATCTATTTACAAAAGTATCCAACCTCTGCTCCTTATATCTAGCTTACCTGATATTTGGAGACATTTTAGGTTATGACTGAAATTCTTTATTATCAAACAATACCTAAAACCTGTATTTATCTCAGAAGTGCTTACTTACTTCAGTTGACAAAACTTTACCATCTTTCAGTTTCTTATCCATACTATTTCTCCTTCTGAGCAGCTGATCCCTTTCCATTTGGAGAACCTGTATTTCTTCCAAAGTGTCTGACTTGTCAGTGGTGCTGCCCTGAAGCTGCATACAGCATGCTGAATTGGGTAGACAATTGCATACTATCTTTGTTCAAAGCCAAAAAAAAAAAACCCACAGCAACCACAGATATAAAAATGAGATATTCCTTTCCAGTAACAAAAATGTAGGTGACACTGTCACATTCTGAAGTGAAAAAATTGCTTGTTTCTTGTAATGGGACCTCATTTACTCTGAGTGACAGATACCACTAAAAAAAAAAAAAAAAAAAAAGCCCAACGTGCAGTTTTCTACATAATAAAAATTAAAAGCACTAGTCATTATATGTAACAATGATCTGCAGTATAGAAATTAAATATTGCAAGATATTTCCTTGCTGTGTTCTCTAGACAGCAGAAAGACTCAGTCATATTCATAAATTATATATAATAAATATATCATTTAATGCTCTGCAATAACAATTCCACAGTTCAGAATTGTTTGGATTTGGTTTTTGTTTCATTTTTGCAATTTTGGGGAGAAAAAGTGAATTAAAATTATTGTCTGTGTTAATTATGATTTAAATGTCAATTGGCCAAACTACTTAATATCTTCATCACTGTAGTATAGACACAGGAGGTCCCTTGAACCTCCTCTGCTGTCTTATCTGCCCTCCCTCACCACCAGTCTTTCAGTTAGTCTTATGACTGTGGTGAGTTTTGTGGGTTTTTTCTTGAATCACCTGGCTAGATCTCAGTTTCTTGATTTCCAGGTAGCATTTCGCCTGCAATAATGCTTCTCTTTTTTCTACAATGGCTTCTCTTTTCTTTAAATCTTCTTCTAGTTCTGCTAATTGTTGGTGCTGTTGAAGAATTCTTTCCATTTCTTCATCCAGCCACTTCTGCTCTTCTAATTTCCAAAGTTTCAAGAGAGATCCAGAGAACATTAACCAGGCCAGTTTGAGTCAGAATGGTATGATTGTGTTTTACCTTTCTTCAGAATTAGTGATAAAAATGTAGAAGACATGAACATTTCTAATGTCAGTATTAATTCTGCAACAGAATCCTTACTCAGAATAATACTGACTTAAACGGGCCTCAGCAATATTAGATTGCTACATCCCATATAAACTAACTTGTATCAGATGCAGTATCTTTTCTAAAGAATATATTTTTAAAAACTATTTACATAAATAAATGTCATCTACCCAAGCACAGAAACTAAGTTTAGATGGTACCATGAAAATTCAGCTAGCCCGTCCTCATTGCATTTTAGTGGCTCAAAACCAGCTCTTTGTTGGACCTGCAAGCATGGCCCATTATAAATTTATTCTGAAGCCACAGTGTATAAGATAATATATTCCTGTTAAGGCTAAGAAATTTCTTTTATTTAACTTTTAGAATTTCTTTTGACCTTTAAAGACTTAGGGTAATTCATATTTCAGTGTCCATATCTGAAGTAATGTAGGTGGCACTGCTACATAGGATACATACGTTTCTAACCCTGTTATCAACAACTGAAACCACTGTAATTAATATCAGAGTAGAAACCAAAACAAAATAAAACACCTGAACAACCCACAGAACACTAAAAATACAGCAGCATATCAAGGTCACCCTCAAACCAACTGGACAACCAAATCTGATGAATTCACAGGTCTCTGAATCAGTATTTCTGACAAATTATAAGAAAAAAAAAAAAAAAGAAAAGGCCTTCCTTTCATTCAAAAAGTACAAGAGCTGCTAGGCTTGCCTCCCAATTTTTGCTACAACAAAAAAAACCCCCACAAAACTATGACGGAATACTCTTCATACAAAGTTTAAATAATCAGATGACTAGAGATAGAGATGAAGAAACATTTTTTTTTTTATTTCGGGGGTCACACATATTTGGAATAGATTAACTACTTCTCTGGAGTTCCCACTGAGTTATTTTTCTTCTTTTTAAAAGCAGCAATTTCTTTATTCTAAATTTTAAGGATCATCTGTTGTTGCTCCATCTTAAGTTGAAGTCCTGTGAACAAACAAAAAGTACCATTCTTCCTACATCAGTCAGTCAAAAACATTTATGTGAGAGTCCTCCAAGACATAAGCTGAAATACTGACCCTAAATTTATTTATAAAATTGCAATTCAGAACTAGACACCAGGTCAATAAAATGAAGGGGAAAAAAAAGCTAAAAGAGAAAGGCAAGATGGAGATTAATGTAAAATGTTTATAGACAATTTCTTTGGTGCATTTATCAAGAAATTCATTATGGCATTATTGAAAATAAGGGAAAACCTGGTAGTGTAGTTTTGTGGGGAAGTAGGGGCAAAAACTATTCATCCTAATCTTTGTCATAGGGAAACAGGAATAATCCTACTTTAATTTGTTGCTGGTCTTGCTGAAGCTCTGCTTCCAGTTGCTTCTTCTTTTCACTCTCCTCACACAGTCTCTCCTGTATCTGGGATTGCTGATGCTTCATCTGAGCCACTTTCTGCTCAAGTTCTCTTGCTTCTCTCTTCTGTAAGGTCAGAATGTTCATGACAACTTTGAGCTTAAGAGCAGGAAAACTTGCAACTAAAATATGACACAGCTTCATTCTTTATTTCACTGAATTCTTAGGGTCACCAAGATTTATTAACTTCTGTCCAATCAGTTGCTATTACTGCAGCTTCTGAGCTATCTGGTGAAGCTGGCACAGGCAGAATTAAACGACATGAAAAGGTACAGTTCATGCTTGGCAATACAGTGAAAGTACTAAAATCTAGCAGAAACCACAGTTCTGGAACACTTGCAGAGACACAATGGTGCCAGAATGCTGGTATTGAGCTCAGGTCAATAAGCAAACTACCTCTTTCTGTGTGGAACTTTACTGACCTGTCATTCTAGGATTGAGAGATACAGAGCACCTAAGCTGGCCCTACACAGAATACTAACTTAGATGTTGCAGAACTTAAAAATAGAAGGTCAGTGTCAAACAAATATGCCTGTGTTGGGCCTGATCATGCAAAGCATTGCAGGGATTTGCTTAGACCTACAATTTATATAGTATTTCCATAAAACATCAATTTTATTTACAGCAAGTAATAAATGTGTAATACCCCCTCTAGGAAAAGTCCTTCTATTGGACTATATACAATGATGTATGGAAATCTCCTATCTCCCAATGCTTTCTTAGCCTCTTACATACCAAGAAGGTATTTTATGTATCTGACCAAGTCGATGTTAACCAGCACTTTCAGTATAATAGTATTAAGTTTCCCACTAGCTACTTCAATCCAACCAGCTTCCAGTGTGTAAAACAGGTACGAATTTTACAAACAGAGTGTTAAGGTTCAGAGAGTGAGACAGAGGTTTGCAAATCTTAATGATCAGATCAGAAATACCTGCACTTTCAACTTAGCTGCCTCTGTCTTCTTCTGGCCCTCTTCCTGTAACATGACTTTCACAGGAATATCTCTCAGCTCTTTACTATCTGGCTCCTGAAGCTGCTTTTGTGTTTCAGACAGTTGTGTTTTGGCCTGCTCAATTTCTTGCTCCAGTTGACTTATCTTCATAGAACACTGCCTGCTTACAGACTGAGCATCCTTACCTTAAAGACAACATATACAAATAGTTTAAAACCAACATAATAATCAGTTGAAATGTAATACTCACTCCTGGAGCTGAAATATTATTTAATTTGTTCTGCCTAAGTCAGTAATTTCTGATACATCTTCCAACACTAAAGGAACCTGCAGCTCCCTTCTAACTCTGAAATGGAGATACAGAGTCCTACATCTGAGCATTTCATGAGTCACTTCATGCTACCCAAGAAAATGCCATCTGAGTGCCAGAGTTAAATTCTTCTGCCTACTGCAGATTTTGGCAAAATGGCTATCCTGTATTTCATAATTCTGTTTTTTTGGCTTTTTTTTTTTTTTCCCAGAAGAATATGCCATTTTTTAATTACTCAACTTTCAGCTTAATAATTGGATTGTGTTTCTACTCTGTGACGTGTCCTGTTCAGGCAATCTGAGATGGCACAGAATCTTTCTCAGACCACCTCAAGAGAAGGTAAACAAAACAGAAGAGTGTGATTAAAGGGGCTGAGGAAAGAGATCCTTCCTGTCATCACAAGGTTAGTCTCTTCTATCAGGACAGATGTGTAAGGGATGTATGCTGCCAGAGACACTGATTTTTTTCCTTCATCCCCTTCTGATTCCCATTTCTCTACTGTTACAGAATATAGAAGATACAATGATGTATCTTTTCTCCAATCCCAGACACCATGTCACAAATACACAGAGAGATAGCACTGACCATACATGAAAAATTACACTACTGTTGGATAAAAGCAATAATCAACAAAAGACAAAAAATATTTAACAAATAATCTTCATAGTAGAGTAGGCTGTAATCAAAATTTTCAGTGTGATCATAGCAAGTAATTAGCAAAATCTATGGATTTTTAAGTTGTTAAAAGTATTCTTGTCTAAGATGGTTATGTAAAAACTACGAAATACAGGACTTCAGATTTTCAGTGCCTTTTCCTTTATTTCAGAACATCTTAATTCCCTTCAGTATCTAGTATTCCTACAGTAGCCAGTTACCTGTTCTTACTAAATCCTTAATAAGTTCCACTTTCCTTTTGATATTAAGTGCAAGTTTGCTTATTTTTTGCTCAGCCTTAGCAAGTCTCAACTCTGAATTCGTTAACTTCTGCATGTTAATAACATGGCTATTCTGGAGGCTGTCAATCTCTTCACCTTGAAAAAAACAAAGCAAAATAGAGTTATGAAATCTGCAATAGATGTTGTATTCAAAAGGTAGTGCTCTGCAATATTGACTGTGTGCTGCTCTTCCATACGAAGTACAAGAATCAAAAGGAGAGAAGAAAGCAGGGTATTCTTCCCTGCCATGTGTCTAAACAGGAAAAAAAAGGATTGTATACACTTTTATTTCAAGACCCTACATCTGAAAAATATTTCAGGAAACCACTTCAGTATTTTTGGTAAGATAATAGCATCCATTTTCTTGCATTGAAGCAATTCCAAAAATTTATACCTGAGTAGGTTTTTGATAAGTGAACTGCTTTCTGGCTAGTAGGTATTACTTAGAGGTTACTAACATCAGTTTCATGGGAATGGGAAAGAACAGAAATTGGAAAAGCTACATTGAATTGCAACCAAAAAAATATTTGTAACAAATACACATATTTTGCTGGGAAAACTAATTACATAAGCTAAAGACGTTATTGCATATTCTGATACTGTAGTAAGATTTGCTCTAATGACTTCCATTATACCTGTGTTTGTGGCAGTTTGTAGCGCAGATGTATTCAACAAATCAGACTTGTCTACTTGATATTTCATGTCACTTACATCAGGAAGAAAGCACAGAGATGCATGATTTTGTGTCCCTGTTCGGTTTATGGAACGCCTATGGAAGAACAATAAACATGCTACTCTGCAAATACACAGGGATTTTTTTTTTTCTTTAAGCATCATGCAAAGTAGATGATCTTAACAGAGAAGAAGCTCAAACTTAAGAAAGCATTTATACTTTCTTCATCATCCACACCACTCCCACACACACCATCACCCAACCCCTAGTCTTCAAGGTAGATTCTGACCCACAAGCAAGGATTACACAATCTTTGCTAAACCTACATATATTAAACTTATTTTGCAGTATGCCCAGTTGGTCCCACAGGTTTACGGTAAGTATCATCACAGATGGTCTCATATCATGGAAGGATTAGGCACTAATACTACCTTTGCTATACATTTTTCTGTAACAAAAGTGAAAGAACAACAAAAAATTACTTATATGAGGTTTTCTCTTCGCAGCCTGTATTGTCTTCCTCTTTGTCACTCTGATCAAGGAGGTGGCAGTGAAGGACTTTATCTTGATCTTCTAACTTGCTCAGTATAATCTGTCTGCGAATATGGAATTCTGCCATTATCTGGGCCAGAGACAAGACAGGGGGGCTGGTATACCCCTGTCAAAATGCACATGAAAACAGTGAACGGTAAAAATACTTGCAATAATTTAGCATTTAATTACTCATATTTTAAAAAATATTTCACCATCTCAGCTTGTAAGCAAAATTACTCTGAAACCCTGTGTACAAAATTGTTTTGCAAGAGTCTAGCGGAGTCATTCCAAACGTGAAAAAGGGCACTGGTAGCAATTCATTATCCCATGTTCTCAACATATTGGTAAGAATAATAATTCATTTTTTATAATGTTTCATACTTGAACCCTCAAAACCCCTAGAAAACCAGCTGGGAGGTGAAACCATGACAGCCATAGCACTTGTAGGTGGGAAATTTAAGCCTAAATATTTTGGATAATTGTGGCAAAAACAATTATCTTCATAAGCATAAGCTTATAAAGCTGAAGATAATATCTTCAGCTTCATAAGCACTTGGGAAATCTAAAGATTTCACATCTGTAAACTTCTCTAATTTCAATTTTAGCTGTCAGTGACTATATGCTGTTTCACCATTTTCTCAGTCTCATGGGAAAAAAATAAAGCAAAAGCAAAACTGAGCTCTGTATCATATTCATGACTTCTAGTTCCTCACAAAGGTCATGAATCTTGTAAATCACCCGCTGACCCCAAATTATTGTGCAGGGCACAGGCAAATTCTGCAACAAACTGAGAATTCTGTGACGCATCTTCAGTCTCAGAGCCCCCCTCCCACTCCCCAGTCCAGTAAAGTTTAGATACATTTTTGTTCAGACCTACCCAGGTGTCCTGGGTTACAGAAAGAGTGCCAGTGTGGGGTGTAACCAAATTGAGTATTCTATGCCAATTCTGACAAACTGTTAATGATTGGTTGTTTGCAGTAGATGCCCAGTAGATGCCCAGCTGACACCTCAGACTACAAGCTGGGTGTTAAATGAGACAAGGTAGAAGAGCCAAACCCTGTGAGAAGGGAAGTGTTTCTTTTTCTTCATAAATGACTCTGCAGTGCTAACTCCTTCTGGGGAAACACCAGCACAGTCCCCCCAATCCTGAAGTGGTTGTCTCTGCCAATGGGCCATAATGGACTCAATGGCACCACCACAACAGATAGCTGTAGCAACTTAGACCACCAAGGATTCCCAAAAATATCCTATGACTCACAGGACTACATCATTCCCATTGTGCAACTGTCCACCCAAGCGGATGTGCTGAATACTCTCCCTTGAACCTGACCATAAATAACTGGGGGCTTTGAACCCCCACCACCCCTGGACAGATCCAGAGGAGGACCACCACTTTTGACTGCAACCATCACTTCAACAGGACTGCAATCACCACCTGATAGGACTGCAACCACCACCTTGGCCAACAGGATGGCAGGCTGTAATCTGACTTTGTGGGTCTAAGCCAGTTTGAATGGCATTACATTTATTTTAACCTTTCTATTAAATTGTGACTCTGACCTGAAATCTCACTCAAGGTAATTGTGTGGGTTTCAATTTTCCCATAGCACACCTGGTCTAGTTACATTAGCCTATCCAGGCATCTAGTGAGAAGTGGATGACATAATTAGGAGCTTATGCTTTTTTCATATGTGTGTTTATGGAGAAATAAAATGAGAATTAAACAAATAATTTATAATTGAACTTATGGTCTGTGTCTTATTAATTAAACATGTATATGGGCTTCCTCTTCCACTTTGTACAATTCCACTTTAAAGATTACTTGTATTAATAAACTAAACATGCACATGATCCCAGGATCACTTGCTGCTTTTTCTTCCACCCAGCCTCAGGTTTGTAGATAATGCTAGTTTCAATACCTTATCTGCTTTTCCTACAGCATTCTCCATACATTGTTCAAAAGTACTTATGTTATCTAAACTGATTCATCCATAAGGCCTGGTTATTTCCATTTTCTACTCACTCGATTATTTTTGATTATTTTTGAATATGGTTAAAATCAGGCCTAGCAACAACAGGGAAGTTGAAATATAGCTCATGGTACATTCTGCATTCTTCTACTTCGAGTGACACATTTTTATTAATTCTTTTTTATATTGTTGTCTTAGATTGAAAGTTCCTCCCAAACACAAACAATGCTTTACAATTTGACATTGTGTTGGAATACAATACACATTATTCCTATGTCATAGACAATACAATGTATGTATCAATATCTTATTTGTTATCATTTTGGAAGAAGTAACAGCCAACTGATCCACCTTGAAGCTCTTTGCCCCTGCTACAACTGCACACACAACTCCACAGTGTACACCCATTGCATAAATACATATGTGTATAAACATTTACTACCTCCTACCTCATACCCGCTGCTCTAAAAGTCCTTATTCTATCATGTACCATTAAATTACATCTGTCTGTGTAAAATATTTGACAGAAGCACTTGCTTTACATTGTATGTTTTTAAATAGAAGTGGCAGTTTAGTGAACTAAATGCCAAAATGGTGCCTGAAAGTTCTCAAGCTTCCCTCCTGCCTCTGATACTGAAAGATTCTTCTATCTACACTGTGACAGCTACCTTGTATCCTCCAAAATTTATACAAGCATTATCACAGCATAATTGACACTATGGTGTGCAGGCTAAAAAAAAAAATCTAGCCAGAAGTGACAGAAAAGAAAGAAAGAGACAGAAGGAAGAAAAAGATCATGACTAATTTACTTACCTTTAATGCACTGACTCTCCCCAAGCCATCAGAAAAGAAAAGGAAAAAGGAGAAAAAGTATAAGGAGAAGAGCACTAACTATCCATGTTTATGCTTTTCTCTTTTAAAAATACATATAATAAATTATCTGTAGTCTGCTTGTCCAGCAACACCAGCAGAATATTAACTATTCTATGTACAGTCTTCTCAATCTTGAAATGTTATGCACATACTAGTCACCGTAATTTCATTAGCAAACTCAAGATCCACACAAGGACAGAGGCAAGCAGCCACTTTGTCATTACCTCACTTTCACTGTGTCACTCTGTTTTCTCTAATGGTAAAGGATCAGAAAGTTAGGATGCAATTCTGTCTTATAAAGTCAAAAGGGGACAATACTCTAATTCTTAATAAAGCTGTAACAAAGTAACTTTCTATACAATTTTTCAATTAAAGCATGCAAGAGGATCCTTATAGGTTTTTTAAATTCTAAAGCATCTTTCAAATCTGAATCTATTAATTGTCCTGAAACTCCCTAACAATGATAAAAATCTGGGGAGAGGGTTGTGTGTTATGCTTCAGGAAGCATGGAGAGCATAAATGGTTCAGTTCAAGTTATGCAGGAGGTTTCTGGTACGAATTGGCTCATATACAGTCTCCAGAAATCACATTACTGTGACAGATCTACTAGAAGAACCCAACTCATTCTGTGAAACAGCTCTAATTATAACAAAATGGCCCTAATATTGAAAGCTAATTAAGTAAAAAAAAATCTGAGGGACCTACTGAATGCATTCACAAGGTAGAAGGATGGTTCAATGCAGATAAATGTGTACCAGTGGAAAAATACCTGTAATCTTTGTGTTTCTTGACCCTCCTTTAAAAATTTCTTTTGTTCTTTCTTTTCTTGTAGCAATGCCTTTGTCTGATCCTGCAGTATCTGCACTTCATGATTCTTCTGGCTAAATAGTTCTTCATTCCTAGCTAGTACCTGCTAGATAATAAAAAAAGTTCAGCTGGGCAAAAGGGACATTATTATTCCTACAACTGGAATATTAATTAAAATAAAACCTCATTTGTTGTTAAAAGACATGGCCAGAACCGCAAAGTCTTGAGGTATGTATAGCAAATTGTCTAAGTGGTTATCTGCAGTTTCTACCTGCTATTCTTCACTTCTGTTTCATCTATTGATTTTGTTGTGACAAGTTTCATTCTTCCCAAGGAGATAATGTACTTACAACCAAACCTTATTTATTGAAGTATATATTAAATTCAGTTATTCTCTTTAGTATACTGTTACATGTAGCTACAAGATCACAGCATCTTATGATTAACATCCTTCTCAAATGGAAACAATAAGAACAGCTGTTCTAAATCTGCAACTTGGATAATAGTTTAACAATTAAAGAAAACACAAGAATGCTTGTTCATATGTTCTTGTGAATGAATTTATACTGATTGATGGAGGCTTCCAAATGCTGTTAGTCATCCAGAAAGCCTGCAGAAGCCAAAGTATTGAAACATTACATCAAACCACAAACCTTCTCATTCCTGCTTTTCCTATTTTTTCTCCAAGAGTCCTGGTGGTGGACATATGAATGAGTTTGGGTATTAGCTACAGCCCAACTGGTATTTGATTATCATGTAAGACAGCATTATCCAGGCAATAATAGCTGCTATCAAATTAATGTTTATGTACAGACAAGAACGGTCCTATACTAGTTGTTAAATCTGTCCATATGCAAACCCGGCTCTAGAGTCTGTAGTGTCTCATTTTGGCCTTTCTCTAACCATCTCTTCCTGGTTGTGGATGGCATACTCACTCAGGGAAAGGAGTTTAAGCTAAGTTTAAGCTCAGCTTTTACACTGTTTTGAACCTGGGAAACATGTTTAAAGCAAGCCACATAAGAAAATCAAGAAGAAAAAAAAGAAAAAAAAGCTGGGATTTAGATTGCTTGAGAGCAAAGAAAAGACTAAATTTGTTTACGCAATGGCCTGATAACTATCTATAGCTTTATCAGTTTGGTTGCAAACTTAAAAATGTGTTGATGTTACAAAATTCTAACTTATTGGAGCACTGCCTCCTTCCACACATGACAAACTGAAATTATTTTTTCTGAGGTATTCATCTGGCATCAGAAATGGCTGCCTGTTCTCATTCTTCCTCTCTCCTCCTCTGAGCAGGAGCTGCTTCTTCTCTTATTAACTCAATCACTGCTTCCACTGTTTCTTTACTACAAGATCAGCTATTACAGTTGAGGGTTTAGTCTCTGGTTTAGTGTCTCTGTGGCCTCAGACCAAGACACCTTCTCAGTCTCAGACCACCACAAGCCTGTTTGTGGGCTTTTAGACCAGACCCTCTTGCATTTCTAAGGGCACTGGACAATGACTTTATAGGCATGGGGCAGATCCAACACAGCTATAGAAGTCAATGTGTTTCACCTTAGCTCCTTCAAATAATGTATTAGTTTGATGGGTTAACGAGCCTGCTCAGATATGAAATCACAAGCTCTCAGGGGCAGCAATGGCCCTGTGCTCCTGCCCAGCTCCTCCCACACATACTGATACCTCAGGGATCAGTCACATTAGAGCATCTTCCTGTGTGGCAAACTCCAAATAGCTGTTTAACCTTATGAACAATAATCAAAGTTGGGATCACAACACATCATTATGAACAGTCTGATTACATAAGGATACTGAAGGAACTCAGAAGCCACTACATCAAGGCTATAAAAAACTGTCCTGGAGGAGAGGAAGGGATACATGCCACTTTTTCCCCTCTCTCAGCAAAATGTCTCTCAGAGAAGAAGAGGAGAAAAGTATAGTTCCTGATTTTATCTGTGAGGTGGTTCTTGGAGTACTGGGACATCCACAACGTAAGACCCAAGTACCAGGTTAGGATGACGGCCCATGGTTTTGTCATAGCTCTCCCAAAAAAAAGGAAAATAAAGCGATAAAAAGCAAACAAAACAGCAAAATCTGAAAATAGTCATTAATGATTCTTGGGACTGTTGTACAGCTAGAAAGGAATCAAGCATCTAAATATTCAAGGACACATACAAATCAGCACCCAAAGCAAATATGCAGCTTCATGACCTGCAACAGTCATTAAACATCTTAACTAAACAGGTATTAATAAGTTAACTCTAGCACACTATAATCACACCTGTTATTATCTTGAAAGCCTTGAGCCACAGGTTGGGGATCCAAAATAAACTGTTTTGAGTTACCCTAGTAGATAGCTAAGCACACAGAGCTATCTTTTCACTTCCCCCTACCCCCATCTCCTAGGAGGACAGAGGAAGAGCAAAGGGAAAGTGACAGCAAAAAAATTTGTGAGTCAAGATAGAAACTGATCAGTAAGCAATGATGAAGTGCAAGAGAGAAAGAAAATGAAACAAAAGAGATGATGCAAAAGCCATCACCCTCAACTTCCCAAGGCTGACTAATGCTCAGCCAGTTCTGGGCAAAATACAGCTAAGTCTCCCTAAACCTCCTCCTCTCCCTTTTTATTGCTGAGCATCATGTTATGTGGTATGAGATCTCTCTGATTAGTTCAGGTCATCTGCTTTGTTCCACGTTTGTGTCTCCAGCTATTCATGCATCCTTCAATCTATTTACTGTGGGGTGCAGGCAGAAAAACAGAAGGCCCACCACTGTACAAAACACCACTCAGCAAGAGCAAGAACATTACTGTCCTATTACCATTGTATTGGTCACAAATCTAAAACAGCACCCTCAGAGATGATATACAGAAAACTAACTCCATCTCAGCCAGACCCAGCATACTGGCAAAGCTAAAACCAAAAATCTACCAGATAAAACAGCTCAGCCTCAAGAATCATTTTGAAACTGACTAGAGAAAATATAACATTACTTATCTCTGCTGTCACTGATTGTGTATTCAAAAATCCATTACAAAACACCTATGTCCCAGAGATTAGCCAAATGAAATTCTACAATGCTTTAAATTAAATTTAATTGTCAAATGAAGTACAGGTGACAATTTTATTCATCTTTCAAAATGGAGTTCAAATTTTGGCAGATTGCCTTTTTACTTAGTCATTTAAATAAACAGCTTATAATTGAATACCTGGCATTTCTCTAGGTCCCTCTTCTGCTGAAGAACTGTAATGTGATGTGGTACAGGGCTGGTCTCAGTCCCTGTGTCAGTCTTCTGGACGGTGAGAGCTTCCTTCCTTACTTTCTGTACCATACTGATCCAGCTCTGCAACCTGTCCCGCCGACTTCTTCTTAAGCTAACATCATCATTCAAATCAACCAGTAGAAGTAAGGCTTCATCTACACAATTTCTGTAACTGGAATATTGAACCTGAAGGCGAGTGAGCTGCTCCTCAAGTGAACTGGTACGGCCTTTTTCTTCATTTAAGTCATGTAAATGCTGATTACTGACCTGCTGGTCCTGCAGAGCTTCCCGAAGCAATCTGACTTCAGGTTCCATTTCATCAATTCCATCTTTTTCTGGGTTGTAATTTACTACTAGTTTATTTCGAATGTTTTTTGCTCTGTTGGCATATTTGAGGGAATTTAAAGATTCATCAAAGTCCAATGATGATGGACTTATACATGTTATCATAACAGTCTTGGCATTTCCTCCAAGGGAGTCTTTCAGAATACGAGTAATTTTAGCAGCCCTATATGGAATATGTGCACTTTTCCTTTTCGGGTCTCCAAGGGCACTGATGACATTTCCCAAGGCAAAGAGACCGCTATTGATCTTAACTGATTCTTTGAAGCGTTCACCAGTATTTCCAGTCTTTGCTACCCTCTCTGATCCAGCCAGATCTACAAAATGAAACTTTGAAGAGATCGAATCCTGTGCAGCATTCTGATACTCTGCAGACTGCTTCTGATGAATACTGATGGTAAAAATGGCATGAGATCGACTAGAGCGCTTGTTCATCTGTGTTGTGCCTGTGTGACGAGCTGCATTACCCCTTTCCAGCAGGTTTATCACTTCATCTGCACATTCCACTTCGAATTCCTTAGAACCAACAATCACTTCAAACACCAAACCAGATGAAAGTAAGAATAATTTAATTAAATCTAAACTCTTCAGCAAAAGTTTACAGTAATACCTATAATCATGTATTAGACAAACATACAAGCCTGCTACGGCTATGACCTACCTATGAGGTCATAGCATATAGCTATAAAAATAGCAGATAGAATATGTGAAAAGCATGAGGTACAACACATCTGAAACCTGCAGATATTTAATGTATGGGTCTATTGTGCCATAACATATCAAACAGTATCTTAGACCTAAGACACAACTAATTTACACATCACATACTGCACATTACCTTTACAATTTACAATGTATTGCTACCTAGAAAAAGTACGAGCAAAGTCAGCTCAAAGGATATTCTGCCAGTTAATAAAAAGACCAGGCTTTACCTGGACTAAGAAAAGATTTTCTATTCTGAATAGCACAGATAGTTGGGCCTTTGGGATAGGTATCTGTTAGTAATCTAATAAAGTGTCAATGTAAATGTACTTCCACTAAGTACTATTACTAATTATCTTTTTTGTATTTTTTTTCTTTTAATGAGAAATGGAAAATGTCCTAGTACAAGAAACTGACGCTGACTGTACTGAGAAAAAGAAAATAATTTAAAATATATTGTGGGATCCTTTTGGATCCTTGGGGGAACCTTGGGGTTCTGCAAGATTTGTGTTGAACAAATGCATTCTCCCAGCTACCGACAAAAAACCCACGACAGCTTAATATAACAGTATAATAACACTAGACAATGAGAATATAAATAAAAAAAGATCCAAACCTAAAACAGACTAGGTACTTGCAGAATAAAATACTTCTGATGTGGATTCTTCTAGCACTTTCATGGGGTGAACAGGATACCTACAGGGCAAGTGTTAATCTCAAAGCCTCTAAAAATATCTACTTCCCCTCCTCTTAATGAAGTGGTCTCTTCCACTCATTTCATTGTAAAAGGGGAGCAGATATTTACAATATAATTGACTAAACAATTGCAATTTTGAAGGAAGAAGCAATGGTTTAATATTAAAATATTTACTCAAGGGAATAATCACACACTATTTTGTTTCTAGACAGAACTTGCAGAAGCAAGAATTTTGTATTTACCATTTGTTGCCACTTCCATCCATATAAGAGAACATCTATATTGTTCACAGGCATCTAAACCCCTAACTGCTTCCAAACAGCTAAACTGAGTTCATATTCTGAAACGTTAATTTTTTATTTCCTTTTATTCATTAGTAGAGAATAAGCATTTTCAAGAGAAAGCAAGAATAATTTGCACCCAAACTAAAACCCAAAACACCAAATATGAGAGCTGGAATCCTACCTGTATTTCCCTTCTCGTCTTCTCGGATATGCAGATCTTTCACAGAGGTCTCCAAATCCAACAAATCTCGAAGTTCTTCCTTGTAAATCTCTATATAGGATACCTTCACATGGAAGTTAATATTACGGTGTTCAGAAATATGATGAAATAATTCCTGAATAGCCCGTGGGATTATGCCCCTTTCATCCACTGCAACAGATGCTAAAATATAACCACAAAATGTCACAGAGAACTGCAGTCATTCTGTTAGTCACATAAATTACAAAGACTGAAATTTGAAAGAAGCCTGCGATATTTAGTATGCAACACACTAAGGAATCTGAAGAGCTCATTGGTTCACAAGGATTTTTGTAATTTTTTGTGTGTGTGCATCAGAAGTTTTGTTTGCATCCAGTACTAGGATTCAAATTTAAGTTCTAAATTATGTAATTTTATGGTGATGAAAGTTATGAAAAACATGGATTCTGCTTTAAAACTATACTCCTCAGAGTACAGATTTCTTCTTTTTCCCTACTCAATATGGTCAGCAATGACATCTCAAAGGTTTGAGAAACTATAAATTCTACTTATATAAAGCAAAATCATCAGTAACATAATGAGACAATATTTATGACCAACATTAAAAGTAATTTCTTATTTTTTCATAGACAGGGAACACTAGTGCCAAACTCTACTTTTTTAAAGAGTATTCAGCATAGGACAATGTTTCCATTAATAATCTGTGGGTTTTATCCAAGACCATGGAAGCTGTTTGCCTATGAGACAACACCAAGAATTTCTTTTACCAAAAAACTAACGGGTTGCTCACATCTTTTAATTTAGTAAATATATTCATTAAACTAAAAGGGTGTAATTGCAGAGCTAAGATCAGTTTTAGACTGTGACATCCACTACCCAAACAATTTAGCTAGCAATGGTCCTTATAGGAACATTAAATAACTACTAGTGAAGGGAATAGAAGGGAAGTTAGAATAATAGGCAGGCCAATGGTGTGAGGATCAACATAGCTAAGTGCGGGGTCCTGCCCTTGAGTCACAACAGTCCCCTAAGCACTACAGGTTGGGCGGGGCAAGAGTGGCTGGAAAGATGCTCAGCCAGAAAGGACCTGCGGGTGCTGGTTGACAGCAGCGGATCTTGGCCAGCGTGTGCCCAGGTGGCCAAGAAGGTCACTGGCATCCTGACCAGTACCAGCAGAAGCGTGGTCAGCAGCAGCAGGGCAGTGATTGTCCCCCTGTGCTGGACACTGGTGAGGCCACACCACAAGTGCTCTGTTTAGTTCTGGGCCCGTCACTCTAAGAAGGACATTGAGGAGCTGGAGAGGATCCAGAGAAGGGCAACAGAACTGGAGCACAAGTTCTGTGAGGAGCAGCTGAGGGAGCTGGGGTTGTTTAACCTGGAGAAAAGCAGACTCAGGACAGACCATATTGCTCTCTACTACCACCTGACCGGAGGGTGCACCAGGGAAGGGGCGTCAGTCTCCCCTCCCAGGTAAAAAGTGACAGAGAAGAAGAAATGACCTCAGGCTGCACCTGGGGAGGTTTAGATTGGTTATAAGGAAAAATTTCTTCACTGGTGGTCAATCAATGGAACGGGCCTAGTTGTGGACCTGGAAATGCAGGATTAATGGTGTGACTTCAAGACCTCAGGGGTCTTTTCCAATGGTTTCTATATGGTTCTGTGATCCTATGATTCTAAATAAACAGAAGAGTCTACCAAGATATTTACAATACTCTAGTTATATCCATTTGGAAGAAGTAAATCATACATTTCTGATGTCACAGAAATTTCTCTCAAAAGCCCCGAAAAAGCAAATAAATCCAACACAGAATGAGCAAGTAAACAATTAAGTGTCTAATGAAGACTTTTTCAAGGTAAGATAAATGTAGCAAAAATCTTCAAAACCACTACATTTTAGAAAAAAAAAAGTTCTAATATAAGTTGCATGTTAAAATGTGGAACATGAAAGAACATGTAACAAATTGAGTTTTTCTTAGATTTTTTTTTTGTATAGTCTAATTTATGGAGAAGTTTTTAGAACTTTATTATCACATGAACTTTGGAATTTTTCTATTACAATTTTCTATTATAATTTTTCCATTACAGGTTTTTGCCTTGATCCTTAAAATTCTGCATCATTATCTGCTATGTAATAAACATTTCACTTGTAGAAATGTACCCTTGACTGATTAAAAAAACTCCAAAAACCAAAAACCTTTCTATAACCTACCAATGTGCTCACCACCAATGGTGTAAGTCTTCCCAGAACCAGTCTGTCCATACGCAAACACTGTAGCATTGTATCCTTCAGTCAGAGACACTAGAAGAGGCTTAATACAAACAGCATAAACTTCTTCTTGGGTTGAGTTTTTGCCAAACACAAAATCAAAAGTGAAGACATGGTCCTTTCCAATGATAACTTGGTTAGCATTTTGGACTAATCTGACACACTCTTGGTAGTTATGAAGTATTTCTTTGGAAAGCAGAGGTCTGACTCGGACTGCAACTTTAACTGAGGGATCTCCTCCATGCCAAACTCCATCCTTGCGCTTCCCACTTAGTATGGACATAGCCAAGAAGAAATCTGTTCACCGCATTCACAGTTGTCTGCAACTAAGAAAAAATGTTTTCCATGTTATGTAAAGAAAATAATGAATCTCCTGAAGTGAAAAGTTGAGATTTCCTAAGGAACGTGTAAGCACCATTACAATCTTGAAAAGTACCTGATATAAATGCAGCTCTATTAATAACTATATCATCAATTAATAAATTATTTTTGCATCTATTAATTTCCAGGTTAGTAGATTTAAGTCTGAAAGTTGCCTGATTTTGTATTTGAATATAACACAGTCATACAAAGCAACAAATAGAGTTTTAACTGTTGATAAAGCAAAGGCTTACAATAGAGCCTCCCATTTTTCTGTTCCTGCATTTATATTGCATAGGCAACACAAATCAGTCAAACAGAACCTTTTTCTCCAGAAGCTGAATATACATACATGTATATTCAACAACATACAATATACATACATGTCTCAATACCCTCTTCCACTTATCAAACACCAAACATTTCTAAATCAACAAGCGCAAAGAACTGTGGTTTTAAATGTATCTATTTACTATACATAAAGCATTCCTCTGATTTTGACCCGAAACTTTAGGCACATATGTAATTATTTTTTAGTAATTATAATTTTAGCAGACATGGTACCTTATACTGCCAGGTGCATATTCATTGTTACAGCATAGGCATTGCACAGTAGCACACTTGTAAATATAAAGGAATTGCCTTTCTTTATAGCTTTCTTTCATTAGAATTCAAAAATCTGCATGGGGTCCCACACACACATATTTTCTGTTGTTGTTGCTAACTCTGAGAATTTTTGTCATGCAAGGTAAAGTTTGCTGAAATTTCTGCTCTCATGCACATTGTCTACAAGAAAGCTCTATTAATGAACTGGCAGAAATCAGCTAAGCTCTCAAAATTCAAGTCTGTTGAAAACTAATAGCTCAAAACAGTGTTATCTCACAGCAGGGAAAGAGAAGAGCTTTCGCATTTCATTTTACCTCTTTTAATGTGAGGACTTGGCTGAAATTTGAAAAAAGAAAAGCCTCATTTTATTGACTGAGCACAAGAACAAATAAGCAAAGCATGAGTATGACTTGTACCATGGCAATCAGAAACAGATACATAAACATACCAACTACAGATTAAAACCACATTTTGATTGATAACTGAGTTTAGTTACCTGGGTGCATTATTTTTTTGCCCCCTAGCAAGTGCTGCTCCTAAGTGCCAACATTCCCTACTCTCTTTTTAAAGTTAAATAAATAAACAAAAAACCAAATTAACAAGCCATGTCCCGGCTGTGGGAGGGAAACCCTATCTCCTAACAATCTATTTTGGTAAAAGAACGTGAGAATATGACAATTCCCAATACGTCAGGGCTGGAGAGACACTCGGCTGTCGATACCCGCGGCTGCCGTAAGGCAGAGGCAAAAACACAGGCAACCTTTTCGCTCGCAGGGATCTCGTGAGGGCGGCCCAGCAGATTTTCCGCGTTTGCAACGTCTCCAAGCCTGAGGAGCAGCCGGGGCCGGATCACGCGAGAGCGTCGGGAGCCGCCAGAGCCGCGTGGGCAGCCCTGCCGAGCCGTGCCGTGCCGTGCCGGGCCGTGCCGAGCCGGGCCGTGCCGTGCCGTGCCGAGCCGGGCCGTGCCGTGCCGTGCCCCTCTGCCACGGGGCCGCAGCGGGGGCAAGAACGGCGGCGCCGCGCGCGTCGCTGCCCTCGCCAGGCAACGGCCGCCGCGCCCGGCCGCGCGCACAGCGCCCCCCGCGGCCGGACGCGCGCGGGCGGAGCGCGGCGGGCGGGCTCCCGGCCTCCTTCCCGCCCGGCCCGGGCCTCGGCCCCTCGGACGGGAAGGACGGCGAGGCGCTGCAGCGTGTCCAGAGAAGCGCCAGGGAGCTGGGGAAGGGTCTGGAGCAGAAGTCCTGTCAGGAGCGGCTGAGGGAGCTGGGGGTGTTTAGCCTGGAGGACGCCCAGGGGCACCTTACTGCTCTCTACAGCTGCCTGAAAGGAAGGAGTAGCAAGATGGCATTCGGCCTCTCCTCACAGGCAACAGGTGCCAGTACAAAAGGAAGTAGCTTCAAACTGTGATGGGGAAGGTTCAGGTTGGACATCAGGAAGAATTTCTTCATAAAAAGGGTGATTAAATGCTGGAACAGACCACCTAGTCCGGTGATGGAATCACAGTCCCTCGCAGTGTTTAAGGATTAAAGACTGGAGGTGGCGCTCACTCAGTGCCATGGTCTAGTAGACAAAGTCATGTTCCGTCACAGGTCAGACTTGATGATCTCGCAGATCTTTTCCAACCTAAGTGATTCTGTGATTCCTCCCACCCCTTCCTACCTCCCTCCCTGCATGGACTGAGCCCCCCCCCATCTCACCCCTACCAGTAAAAACACAGATAGAGCCCCATGGCACGTCTGTCACCTCACCATTTATTGAATGACTGGACGGATTACACGTCCATGTCTGAGCAGAAAAGCATCTGCCAAGCACCTGCCACCTCTGTGCAGGTATGAGAGGGGACAGGCAGGAACAGGGAGAGGCCGAGGTGCAAGGTAACACCACAGGATCTGCACATCTGGCTGTGTGCACAGGTAGCCATGTACACCGATACAAAGGTCAAAGAAGAAGTAATAAACCCCACCTTGACATAGGTTGCCCACAAAGTTTACACTGTTAATTTCAGTCAGGGCAAGCAAAAGATTAAAAGAAAGGTAGTAAAACAATGCTGGGGAGAAAAAAGGCACATTGTTACTACATCACTAGAAAACAAGGATTTAACAGATTAGTGCATGACAAATGACCACACAAAAAGCAAAACAGCAGTTCAAAAGTCAGCAATACAAGGGCTATCAGAGTGGACTTTAGTAATATATACACCGTACTCGATGGAATGGGATGTCTTTCATCTCTGCCCTGTGATCCCTGGCATAATCCCAAAGATAATAATCGAGTAAAACTGCATTGATCTTCTCATGCATATCCTGACCCTTCTTCTGATAGACCTCCTGAAGGTGTTTACAAATCAATGCACAACACCAAATAGAACAGCCACGGATCTCTACCTCTTCTTTGTCTCCAGATTGGAAAAGTGCTCCTGCAGACACAAGAGACAAGCAATCCATTTACATGGAACAGACAGAAGGCCATGGACTGACGAAATTTGTCAATTTTTCCCCCCTTTCACATTTATTTCACTCTAGGATTCCAGTTCTCATGACTTACCCTGCAATTTATTTCCCCCTTTCACATTTATTCTGCTCTAGGAGTTCCAGTTCTCATGACTTACCCTGCAACTGTTAACAGTGTTGCTGTACATTTTATAACAGTTACTTTAATTTTACCATATTGCACTTAGAAGCTTCCCTCCCATTCAACTCAAGCAACATCCTGTATTCTAAGGAATTGCTTTAGAAGCAGGGTGTACTGCAAATCATATGATCATTTCTTTGTTTGCGGGGACAAAAAAAGAGTTTTTCATTACCGTATACTTTTTAGTATACAATTACTGTACTTCATAGTATATTTTCTACCAGGATGACTGAAGTCTAAGATTTTAAAATTAAAAACAAACAGCCCCCAAAAAGAACTTAATGCAAAGAGAAAAAGGATTCATGGAAGGATAAAATGTCTATGAGGTCTATTTAGTTATATAGATATGCATAAAGACAAATACATGTACGGCCATTCTTTTAAAGTTCATGGGTGACGGCATTAATCTGTTTATCTTCCTGAATATTTCTGAAATTTTATAACAGCAGTTCTACACCTAAATACAGTCATTTTATGGTGCAAAAGAGATTAGCTTATTTTTATTCACTAAAATTCGTGGTTACTAAGTATTGAAGATGAAACCATGCTTAAAAATGAGGTCATAGTCATATGCAATTAGCTTAATTTAAAGCAATATTTTTAATGGATGCTTATAATATTACTTTGCTTATTAACTAGCAGTTCAGTACAAATACAGAGGAATTCCCATGCTTTTATATCAAATTCGAATTAATGACAAAATCATTGTTTCTTTTATGTAAACCTCCAGAATTGTAACTATTCTCATGGTTTTACAACAGCAGCTTTTCAGAAACTCATTCAGAAACTCAAAATATCTTTGAGTCTTTTTAATCCCTCCCTTATCAATGTTTAATTCACAAAACACATCTTAATAAAAAGGTAACCTTGATCTCTCAGGATCATGGTTACAGAAAAAGTTCCTTCCTGTTACCTCATCAGTACCTAAGAAATCCCCAGAGGAAAAAAAATGGAAAAACATTTTGTCCCTTACATGGACAACATATTACATTTGAGAACTAGCCTTAGTCTACAATATCAGGCAGTTAGATTATTTGATATTAGCAAGAACAGAACAAACCTTCACGTAGTTTCTTCATTAATTTTTCAGAATACTTCATTGCTTTTAAGTGAACAAGAACTTGTGGAATTCTGTAGTCAGCAAATATCGTCAGACTGGAAATATCATCAAAAGAACCATCTCCTTTGCCTTCTAAAACACTCCATGTGTCAGCCACAAGTATTTGTGCCCGTTTGTAGAAAGACACCTTCTTTTTCTGAAGAAAGAAATTTATGGATTATTTAAGTGCCTGATCAATAAATATAGCAAATAATACATTAAGCATATCATATTGTTAAGCAAACATTAGTTAACTAGAACAGAATAAACTGCAACACTCTTAAATATCTTCAAATCTAAACAATAACAAACTACAAACATGGATTATGTAGAATGCTCATAAATAAACTGAAATAAAAAATAGCATAATAAAAGTTACTGCAGCAAATAAAAATTATTTAGAATATGCCTAGATCTCAGAATACATTCACAGATGTTTACTGCCACTTGGCAAACACTGTAGTTGAACGTCCAGCAACATTAATTTTCAGAAACTCTACAGTACATCCAACCTTTTAATTTGACAAGAGAAGCATAATAAACATGTATTGTACTAGACAATTAAAAATTTTTGTTAATTAAAAATTTTTGTTAATCCATTTATCTGTACTGTTAAAAAACCAGAATTCTGGTGAAAAGTTTAATGAATGCTCCTCTTCATTTACTGTCAAGATGCTGTAACTATTCCTGACAGCAAATAATATTTTTTGTCCTTGAATTATAGTCTCCAAAAACACTGTGAAATTCAACTATATTTCAAAGAACAATTTCCAAAACATCCTCAAAACTCCTCCCTTCCCTGTGCCTTATTCTATACTTGACACAGATGCACAAACTTACTTCTAGAGAACATATGTAATTTTGTACCTTAAATAACAAAACACTACCTTAAACATCACACAAGAAATGTAACAAGAAGTAAATAATTAACAGACCAAATTTTATCATAGCTCCTACTGTCCCAAAGCAAGGGTGTCATTCTTACATAGCATTAGGAATTTCCCAGTAGTAAAGTACTGCTGACTGTCTCTAGCACCACACCATTTCACAAGAGTAGAGAAAGTCAAAATTAGAATGGAACTTTTCAATTCATGCTGCAGCTTAATTAGGAAGAAAAATATTGTCTGGGACTCATTACTGAGCAGATAAATTTACAATTTCATTGTTTCAATTGTTAACTTTTATATGGTACAGAACATATGAAGTTTATATAAAAATCTCAATATGAAAAAGACTGCGCAGCATTTCGAGTAAATTTTCCCACTGTTTATCAGGAAGCAGGAAAAGCACTAGGTACTAGGATACTACATGTCAAATTGGAAGAACTTAAGAACTTCTTTACTGTGCAAGTGACTGCACTGGCACAGATTGTTTAGAGAGATTGTGGAGCCTCCCTCTTGGAATACACTCAAGAACTGTCTGACTCAAGCCTGTGCCATGTGCTGTGGGATGACCATGCTTGAGCAGGAAGGTTGGACCCACTTATGGTATGGCTCCTTAAACCCTTCCCAGTCTCTGATTCTGTCTGTGAAAGGGAATAAAGAAAGTACAGTTTATAAAAAAATTGAACTATTTTCTACATGGCAATACAACTATATCTTTTTTTTCTGCAACACCTTGCCTCTACAGGAAATAGTACCGTGTACAGGAACATTTCATTCTTCTCTGCAGTACAATGTGCTAATATTAAGGAATATATCTAATTATGACTGACATTAAAAGAAAAGAGCAGTATCGTGTTGGCAAAGAGCAAAATGTAATAGCACAGTCATTAAAAAAAAAAAAAAAAGCAAAGAATAGGATCATGAGAATTTTACAACCTCAGTCCCAGGTGATGGATGGTAAGTAAAAGATGAATACATGCAATATAGGGGAAGATCAAAAAGGACTCCATTAAGTCTCTGTTAGAACAGAAAACCCCTGATATATGAGTACAATATAGTCTAAATCTTAAACTGCTGTTGGGAATCAAGTGCAGCACAGCATCTAAATATGAATTATCCTCCAAAGAGAAAAAAGTGTTTTGGAGATTTTGTCTTGGTCTGCATTTTCTTTTTCAGAAAAACTAACACTGGAAATTTCTGTGATTACACATGTAATCATTAAAAGTATTTTGTATATGTATTTGGAAAAACATACAGTCAAATAATTGTGCTAATTTTAGAAGCTTCCCTAGAAGGTCAGCTGTAGCAGTCTGTGATGGTATGGTTTTAATGTACAACTTAACTTATATGTATTTCTCCTTTGGAGAGCTACTGAAAAGCACTGGTTTGCTATTTGGTATTTCACCATCTTTTCAGTTCCCTCCTAACCCTTTAGAAGTCTTACTTGTGAGAGCTTACCTGCTGCCATAAAAATAATATGATCCATGTCACCACCTTCAAAATACATGTCTTGCTTAGTGAAAGCAGATAAAAAGCTTCCATATTCATGCAACAGTCTTTATTACTAAGTCAGTGTTTACAGTCTGGGATAATTTTTAGAACAGTTTTTCATTCTGTAGTCTGCTGCTGCTTTTAAGGAGGCTTGCTTTATAAAGCACTCATCATCTCATGAAACGTATAACGTCAATGAATACAGTCACTATAAAGATAAGAAAATATCACTTTACTTGGAAAACATTCCCTTTCTCATCACAAAAATCATCAAAATGTTACTTTTTATGTTAAAAAACACAAATAAACTCAAATAAATGAAACCAGTAGCTTCAAAGATTAATTCAAAAGAACCTCTGATTTTTTATGCAACTTTATTTTGCTTCACAGCAGGAGACAAAGGAAAATAAAATGACACTTCCTACTGAAGGGCAATAAATGCAACGCAAATAAATGCAAAAGCAAAAATATTGAATCAATGCAAAGGCTCAAAGCTTCAGTGACTGATATTCCAAGAAGCTGAAAAGACTCCACAGACTAGTAACATAGGCTGAACTATCACTAACAAAGTCTTCTAGATTTAAGGATGAAACACCTGAGTACTATGTCACAAGCAACTGAGCACATGAGCGGCTATGTAAGTCACAGGTGCTAAATGAAAGCCGTGACTGTATAAGTGAAAACTGGGAGACAAAAAACATCAGACGATCCCTGCCTAATTCCCATCAGTTTCTTTCAGTAAACGCTTCAGTATGCTGCCAACATTTGTAAAAATGGAAGTTACTTCTAATCTGTAGTGATTTGAGTAATGCCTGTTGAATCAACAGCCGTTAGAGGGTGGAGTCCCAGTAGCTGCGCATTTAACTCTACCAGAGTTTCACTTCCCTCATTAGCTGCTGAGAGCCTTAAGGTAAAAGAAAAAGAAGATGGTGGGAGGAGGGTTGTCAGCAATTCAAGGGAAGTGAAAAAAAAAGAAAAAAGGCTTCCCATTTTTCAGGCAGGAATCATCTCAAATACTATGCATTTTTAAGGAGTACAAAGGAGGTGTGATCTAACTGGGAACTCAAGAGTGTACCAAAATAAATTACAGTAAATTGATAAAGAGACAGCATATGAGAAAAAAGGTACTCCTCTGGTGGGAAAAGAAAGTGACTCTTGTCCTGACTAGTTGTGGACTATCAAATCTCTTTCACTGTTACTGAATAGTTGCATTTTTTTCCCAGAGCTTTAGAATTAACTTACCTCAAATACAGCTTCATCTCTGTAAGAAAGAAAATTTTCCAGTATGATATGTAGCAGTTTCTGAGCACTTTTCTCACTCATTTTAACACAGGTGAGGAAAGACCCTCCAAACTTCTCTAACAGAACGATTCCACTTTCGTTCAGCACCCGGTGTCTTTCTTCAATCAAAGGCAAAGGAACTTCTGTGTCAGAGCGAAATACGTGCCTAACTTGGTCAAGCGTCATGGTGGCAAAATAGGATGGACTGGTGATAGGTATTCCTTCAGAAAAGTGAAAATAAGATATTTAGGCTATCACATAACATAACATATAGACTTAGTGCAGTGGTCTGCTAAAGGAAAGCACTTCTATAAGAAGATCTAAGAAGTCCATCAACTCTTAAACCCACCTTTGCTTTCAGCAACAACTGCATCCACAGAGCTGCTCACAACTAAATTTGTGAGTGCACATAATGTTTTCTTCTACAGCAAATTTCCAACATACAACCATAGAACTATTGTTACTTTTTGTATGTAATTTTCCCCAACTGCTTGGTTTTTGTATTTTAAGTGTGATGTTTACATAGCACACTGGCAAATATATTCAGTATACAACTAGTTTAGTCAGCCTAGGCCTGTTTTCCCATGGATCCTAATCATGCTGTGCATTCACAAAAAGCGTCTTAATGCTAATACCCCCTTAATTTACTAAATAACTATGCAGAAAATTAATTAAAACTTTCATCTATACCTACTAAGAGTTTGGGCTTTTTCTGAAAACAGCAAGAAGCGTGAGTGCTAAAGTAGTGGATTTAAATATGAGACTTTAAAATACTGATTTTAAAATATTGGTTTGAGGGCCATAATGGGTTTCAGACTTACTTTAGACACTCTGATATTTGATTAGTCCAGAGGATTCTCGCTTTATGCCTCATTTTTTCGTTTGCCATGGAAATATGCAACTCAAGAATACATGTGAAATAACCCAAGTCATGCACAGCTGACTACTGGCAATCCTTAAAGTCTTTTAAATGGAAGAGAGAACCCAGTTAGAGCCAAGAGTTAGGTAGTTTCAGTACAAAGGCATTTTGAAAGCGCTTCCAGTTCCCTTCTCCAAGCTCTGTGGGACGCCTGCACATACAGAGCTACCGACACAGCGAGCAGCACTTTCCAAGAGCGTGTCCCAGTTCCGAGGCGCCGCCTCCATTTAATACACGACGCTCGGCTCCCGATGCCCCTCGCCCGCAGCCCCGGCCCGGCCCCGCTGCCCCGGCGCTCACTGACCGTCGTCCAGGGCCCTGTTGACGGCGGCACACAGCGACCAGTAGCCGCTGTAGGTTTTGTCCTTGTACTTCACAAGGTACTTGCACTCCTCCTGCTCGGACCAGAAGGAGAAGTTGAGAGTGTCCACCAGGAACACCCAGTCTACAGCCTCCTTGTCGGCGGCCCGGGGGTTCAGCTCGTGTAGGCTTTTCCACCCCGCCAGCCCGAACTCTGCCGCCGAGACTTTGTCGAACAGGCTCTCCGCCACCCGCCGCGCTCCCTCCTCGTCCACGGAGACATCTTTGCTGTGCTCGGCTATGAACTTGGCGGACTCCAGGGGGGACGGGAACACCTCCATCCTTGGCAGGAAACGCGCACACTGCCAAGCCAGCCTCCCCGCCGCGCTTCTCGCGGGGCGCGCACGGGAAGCGGCCCCGGCCGCTCGGCCCCGCTCTCCGCCCCGCGGTGCTGCCGCTGCGCGCAGGCGCGGGCGGGGCCCGGGCGGCGCTCGGGGCCGAGCAGAGCCCAGGCCCGGGGAGCGCCTGGGCCGGCACGTTCGTGCTGAGTCGCCCCCTCAAATCCTGCCAGGCTACAGCAGTGGGCAGACTCGGCTTCATGGCAGCGAAATTTTCCACAAGATTCCCATCATTGAAAAAGAGAGGGATATAAAACAAAAATCCAAAAACACAACTGACAGATGAACGAACAAAAATATGCGTGTTAAGTTACTGAGCTCTTTTCCGCAATCAAAACAGAAAAGAACCAAATGAAAGATAGTCCAAAACTCCTTTTGCATACATACGTAAGTTGGAAGCAGAGAGAAATTCAGCCTGTTTTAGGTCACTTGCATTTTGCCCAAACCTAGGCTTTGATTGCAGCCTTCTCTAGAATTGAGGTACCAATCTGTGTACCAAGCCAGTTGACATCTTTCTACAGAATTCATTAGCCTCTGCCAAGGGAGCCAGCCTTATGCATAACGTTTCAGGTTCCTAGCCTTTACCATGCTATTTTAAAGAGCAGCTGCGTAAAAAGGCCAAGTTCATGCACCACAAATCATGGGGAGGAGGGGACACAACCAACCAACCAACCAAGAAAAACAAGAATCTTCACTTAGTCTGGACCCATCATATCTCCATGTGCCACACACCTTTACACTTTTTAATCTGTTTTTATTCAGGAAGTGAAATTAAAACTTTAAACTATAAATAAAAATGCCAAGGTATTACATGAGATATCCAGAGGTGCTATATATTTTTTTTTTAATTTCTCACAAATAATTATTACGGAACTCAACATACATCTGGGAAACAAGTTTTGCATACAATGAAAAACAAGTTACACAGTTATAGTGTCATCCTGCCAATTTGCAATTCCTACCTCATATGAAAAACAAAAAAGCTCAGGAAACAAGTATAATTTATTCAGTAATGATAGAGCAACTCTGCATTAACCAAGCTGTCTAAAACCAGGTGTACTTTACCAGTTTACTCAGTGACATCACAAAGTTTTAAAGTATTTTATTTATATACTGTCACCAATATATATATGTATTGCAAGGAGGGCCAAACACTTGCAAAAATGTCAAGTTTTACACATTTGCATTAATATTTTCACCTCCCCCCCCCCAAACAGCAAAGCAGTCATTGTTTTCACACGATCTCTTTAATTTGTCAAAAAAAAACCCCACATAACTCCATCTATATATCAAGGAAACTGAAGAGCAAGCTTATCAGCAACTTTTAATTTATAAGGGGAAAAAAGAACAAACCAGGTGTATCCATTTTAGTTATGACTTTATGTAGACCTGAAGAAAAATGACCACCAAGAATAGGTTCACTAAATTTATTTAAAAATCCTAAAATGTTTCTTACAAAAATGCATTACATTCTGCACACTGCTCTCAGCAACTGCCAGGGACATGTGGCCTACCATATTCTCCCCATCAAAGTAAGATACAGTGTACATAAAGCAGGGTGTTCACAACAATTACAGAAAAACAGTACAATTTACCACCAACAATGAACAAAAATAGAATTCACTCTCTCTGCTGCTTCAAAATTTCAATGTTAGTCTCGTGCGCCCTCCCCCACCCCATGTATTTGAAAGGAACTAAACATTACATCTGGTGTACAGCAAAGATTCCACTACACCTCAAATGCAGAACACCTATGAAGCAGAGGAATGTTGGCTTTTTAAACAGAAGCAGATAAAAAAAAAAGGGTGCAGGACTCCTTCAGTTCTTCACTAGTCTTAGAAAAACTTTCCAGAATACTGCTTCACACTATAAAAAAGAAAAAATAATCTTGCATTAGAATCCTTCAACATCTGCATACTGCTTCACACTATAAAAGAAAAAGAAAAAAGCATGTATTAGAATGATGGACCATACATCTTGCATCAACATTCATAAAGCATATTAAATTACAAATTACTAACACATTTAAAAATATATATTTTAAAAATGTCAATAGCTAACAATTATATTAGTGTATTTCAGGCACAGTTAAATATTAGTAATCTAAAGCCAAACACTCTAGTTAGGACATTAAAACTGCTATAGCAGCCAGAACGTTAATACAGCAATTGCTATCTGTAGCTGTTAATATTTGGCAGAAAAAAGCAAAGTACTGTCAGTAAGGTGTGAAATGCTGCATAACAGCCCCAAATCGATTTCAACTTGTCCTGTAGAGGCATGGTCTGTGCCATATGGCAGACTGTGATTTGTTGTCAATTTAGTTATCAAAAAACAACAAAATCACTAGTCTTCCACACAGAACTAGGCCAACATCCACTGAAATCTTCTATATTTTCTACAGGCTCTATGTAATTTATTACAAGTAGTTTTTTTGCAGCAGTTTTCACCAGAGAAAGGAGAGGACTGCTTGGTTAAGATGTCTTCCAGAAAGATTAGTTTTGAGGGTGTCTTCATTTTAATTAGAATGGAGAGCAGAAGAGAATCAAGGCAGAACTACCACTAGAGAAGTTAGGTTCAAATAGTTACTTAAAACCTGCCTTCCTCAAAAACTGATTCACAGAGGAGAGCAGTTTTATAATATAGAAGTTAATTTGACAGTAGGGACAACATTAACTTGCCTGTTCTGCAGCAAATACTGTGCATTTTGTATCTGGTCCTGTGTTCCTGTAATAGTTATTATCCGATCTTCTGAGCCTTCTAGTGGTTCATCAATTTTGATCGAAGCTCCTGACTCATGACGTATTTGTTTGATTCTCTGGCCTCCCTTTCCAATAATAGATCCTGCCAACTAGGGAAGAAAGCAACAATATTTATTTCCTAATACAACTGTCTTTCCAAAAAGTTAGAAAATTAGAACAGCATTTGAGTAGCTTCCACAAATTCAGTTTTAAGTGTTGCAATGCCAGCTTATTTATTTCTAGCGTAAAAATATCCCCTGCAGTATTAATTGTGAGGTGAGATGAAACTGGGAGAACCAGCTCTCATTTGCAAAACATGGGTTACAATGATCATATCGATTACTGAGTATTAACCACAAGTAGAATTCTTTAATGTGTCTCTAAAGACAAAAACCAAGCAGTCAAGAAATACACTATTGGTGATTTAGAAACACTTATTTTGTATTAGAAGTATTTTATCAAGCATTTTAAGTATTTCTGATTTACTTAAACAGTCTGAGAAATGGCTGTGACTTTTAAGAGAGAAAGCCTGAATTGAAAGCAAATCAATTTTACTTACATCTTTGGGAATCGTTACTTGTGTTGTGATGATGGGTCCACCAAGATCACCGTATGATCCACGCCCCCCTGCATAAGAATAATCTGATTTAAGTGTATGCATCAAGCCCTTTAGTAACTACATAATGAACTATGTGCAAAGGTTCTATATGAACACTTACCATAACCAGAGCCACCCTCAAACTGCAAGAGAAAGAGAAAAAAATATTGACATGAACAGCCAAGTTTCATTAACACATTTTTATCTTACACGTTATATTGTTAACTTTGAGCCCATTTAATCAAACATCACAACACTCAATCTGATATATATGCAACAGTGCTACACCATAAAGAGCATCCTGAGGCAGACAGAAGACCAGAAACAGAAGGGGTGGGTGGGAGAGATCTCATTAACCTCTGTCCATTTGTACCAGAGGCCATCTTACACAGGACCACCAGTTGGAGGCAATGATTTTTGTCGGTCCTGTCCAACTCCAGACATTCTGTGATTCTTATCCTGCCCTATCAAAACCCCTAAGAATAACACACAAAATGGCAAAGCACTCAGCCATGCCGGTTTACCAAGGCAGTCTCATTATCTCAGCTTCTTGTAGACAGCTGTTGATGCTGATCTACTTGAGACCTATGTACTAAACATCAGAATTACAAAATCAGAGCCTTATTAACACTAGCTCAAAAAAGACTACAGTCTCCAGTTCCAGGGAAAGAAGTCTGCCCAGTAAATCATCCTACTAAATCTACATCTTTGATTCCATGTTACAACCCTTTACATCTTTGAATACAATCACATGAATTACTTCTGTTACATTTGAACCACCATATACCAAATGTAAATCACTGCAATGAGCACTCCTGGCCCTGTTGTTTTTAAGATTTGTAAACTTGCATTTGATATCAAATTCTCATTTCATCTAATGTGTTTTAAGTTTGCAAAACCATGTATTTAAACTTTGCTACAGAAGCAGAGAATAAATACACATGGTTCTCTCAAATTCAGCTTCTGAAGGGACTCCTCGGGTCTGTGAGAGGAGGCTGGAGGCTGCCTAAAGATGAAACTGTCAGCCAAGCTGGTGACATCTCAGTGACAGTATTTAGGAAAAGAGAAAAAAATTCCCAATGTGCACTGCTGTTAAGAGTGAGCAAGGATGAAAAAAGTGCTCCAGACACTGTAGTGGAGACCTCTCTGCAGCCCATGGAGAGAACCACACTGGAGCAGATCACTACACTGTAGCCCATTGAGGGATGCTATGCTGAAAACGGGTAGAAACACCCAGAAGAAAACTGCAGAGGCAGATACCTGGACCCTGTGAGGGGACCAACACCAAATTAGTTCGTTCCTGAAGGACTACCATATGAAGGGAAACCACACTGCAACAGTTCCCTAAGTATTACAGTCCATTGGAAACAGATCATTCGAGCAGCTCCCAACTGTATCATTCCATGGAAGGGACCCTACACTGGAGCACAGTGCAGAGAGGAAGAAGCAGTGACAGGTCTGACGAGCTGACTGGGAAGCCATTCTTATCAGCCCTGCACCATTCATGGCGGAGAAGCAGAAGAATAAGGAGTGAAGGAGTGAAAGCTGAGTCTGTGAAGAAGTGGAAGATAGGTAAAGGTGTTTTTATGTTTCTCACCATGCTACTCAAAGTGGCAAGAAACCTACCCAAGCCAGCTCTGTTTTGGCCTATGATGTTAATAAGTAAGTGATCTGCCTGTCTCCATCATGAGCCACAGACTTTTCTGTCTTACTTTCTTCCCTCACTCTACTATGGAAGAGACATAAGAGCAACTGGCAGTCAGTCAAGTTCAGCCACTCACAAGTACCGGCCTGTAGAAGTTACAATATAACAACTTTCCCAAAAAATATTACTTACCATCTTTCTTTTTTACATCAAAATGTAAAAGTGCTCAAAGTGTTGAGCTTATCCTCTGTCTCTAAGCAACCCATATTGTCTAATCATGTTATTAAGCAATACATATTATAAGACAACATAATAGAGCTCACATTGGAGTCCAAAATACAAGACAATGAAGGATTCTGCTTAAGGTTTAATTGAGAAGCTGATCACACAGCATACTGCATACACACACATATTGCCATAGCATACCTTTTTGGACTAATTTCTTTCAAAGAAAATACCCTTCCTTTATTGCATCTACCTCTCCACACTACAAAACAATAGAATTTGATAGCAGTTGCTCTATATATAAGGTAAGAGCTGACTTTTCACATGAATTAATCAACAGTATTAATTTGGCAGCATTTTGCCATCTTCAAGACATTGCCAACAACTGATGCACTCCGTAATTTCTACAATGGAGTGACTACATTGGTGTACAAGAGAAAGGCTACAGGTATCATGTACCTGGACTTCCGTAAAGGCTTTGACACAGTCCCCATGTTCTTCCCTCCAAATTGGAGAAGGATGGATTCCACGGGTATACTGCTTATTGAATAAGGATAGTTACATCCAGGGGGCAGTGTCAATGGCTCAGAGCAGACATTAAGTGGTCTCCCTCAGGAATCGGCCTCCACTGGGACCAAGGCTACTCAATATCTTCATCAATAACACAAACAGATTAGGTACACCTGCAGCAAGTATGCAAAATGAGTGGCAGACCTGAAGGACTGGATGCCATCCAGAGGAACCTGGACAAGCTCAGAAAGTGAGCCCATGGGAATCTCATTCAATTTAACAAGATGAAGAGCAAGGTGCTGCACCTGAATTGGTGCAACCCCCAGTACCAACACAGGCTAGGGGATGAACAGATGGAGAGTAGCTGTGCCCAGAAGAACTTGAGGGTGCTGGTGGGTGAGAGGTTGGACACCACCCAGCCACAAGCACTTGCAGCCCAGAGTGGCAACCGTGTCCTGTTCTACATCGAAAGGTCTAGCCTTGAGATCCCAACATGAGTACTGCATTCAGCTCTGGAGGCCCCAGTATTTAAGGGCATGGACCTACTGGATTAAGTCCAGAGGAGGACCACCGAGATTATAGAGGGATGCAGTACCCCTCCTGTAAGAAAGCCTGAGAGCTGGGATTGTTCACCTTGGAGTGAAGAAGGCTCCAGGGTGACGTTATTGCTGCCTTCTAGCTCCAGAAGGCAGCCTACAAGAAGGCTGGAGAGGAATTTTCACACAGGCACGTAGAGAAAGGACAAGGAGCAACAACTTTAAATTGAAAGCGGGTTGGTTTAGTTTAGGTATTGGAAAGAAATGCTTCACCATGAGGGCGGTAAGGCACTGGAACAAGCTGCCCAGAAAAGCTGCGGACGCCCAATTACTGAAAGTGTTCAAAGGCGGGCTCAATGGAACCCTGAGTGTCCCAGTCTAATTCAAGGTTCTCTACCCATGGCAGGTTGGAACTAGATGACCTTTAAGGTTGCTTCCAACCAAAATCATTCTGTAATTCTGTGATAACATCCCAAAACCTATCTGATCAAATAATACATTTTCAAAGAGACTGATATGTAAACATAGTTTATTCACAAATAAAGTGAGAAGCTACTTCAAATATTTGCTGCTTGAAATAAAATCCCACATTATGGAAGTAAACCAAAATACAAATCATAAATAGATGCACCTACAGTGCATCAGTTATAGAGAAAATTACCATTTAGCAAAATGAAAATACCGTGGAAAGGAGACAAAAGAGGTACAGAAAAGCTCCTCTATTTTGACCAGGCTGCTGCATAATTCCACATTTCTATGAATATTACCTGCCTTCAAAGGATACACCATTAAGTCTGCTCCGAAGTTCAGAGTCAGAAGAATGGCTTTATAAATTTTAATAGGAGTAAGTTGCCATGGACTACACTCAAGATCTCTTAAATTTACTTTATCAGTTAACTCATTCAATAAATCAGTTTTCAGAAAATAGGCTGAAAACACTTACCAACTCTGGTGGCTGCATGTCATCACAGGCATCCACATGACACTGCATCATCTTCCAGATGCAACATAAGAGGAAGGAAGGAAATCCAGGTCATACAGACTTTTAGAGAATGTTGCAACCAAACAAAATGCATAGTGGCACAAAGAAACCCTTATACTATTAACAAAGA